CGGGATTGGCCTGGGGGGGGGGTTTATAGGGATTTTAATAGGGATTTTATAATTTTTCTAATAACAGGTTTATCTAATATATATTTTAATTTGGTTTTTAGATATTTATTGTATAGCTCTGTTTTTACTTACCTGTAAGCCGCCCTGAGTCCCTCGGGAGAAGGGCGGGGTATAAATTAAAGTATTATTATTATTATTAACCGCAAACAGCTGCTAAACGAGATGGCCATTAAACAAGGACTGCCTTTGTTGAGGAAAAGGCAGAGTTGTTATTGCTTTGAAACCAACCGTTGTTTTGCCCAGATGTCAAATTCTAATATAATATCTAATAAGGATATTATTGGGGGCTGAGTACCTGCCAACTCAAATCAAAAAGAAACTGCCCCTGACTATGACACTTATATCGACCACGAGACACCACGTGATCAGTTTCATCTTTATTGAGAGTCTTTAGATACGGGTAGCCAGATGTTATTCTGATTTTTAAACCTTCCACCGAGAATTGAATTCACCATCATGCCTTAGATGACAACATACAATCCATTAATTTTATAAGCCCTTCAGGTTCTGATCCTCAGTGGTAACTAGAAATGCTTCCAAATGGTGTGCCTTCCTTTGAGCTCTCAGAGAAATATTTATACAAAAGTACATCTGTTTTTCTTCTCTAAGAGCTGAAGGGAAAATGGACTGTATATGCCAGGGGTATCAAACTCACGTCGCGTGATACGTCACGACGTATCACAACTTTTTTGCCATTGCTGGCAATGGGGTGGGCGCAGTTTCGCTATGATGCATCCGGCAGTTTGACACCCCTGGTATATGCCATTCGGAAGCGCACCTACAACAGGTTACAGTTAGTCCGTGACTTACAACCATTCATTTAGTGATTGATCAAAGTTAAAATGGCACTGATAAAAGTGACTTATGACTAGGCCTCACACTTATGATCGTCGCAGCATCCCCACGGCCATGTGATCAAAATTTGGGTGGTTGGCAACCAGCATGCATTTACAATGGTTGTAATGTCCTGGGGTCATGTAATCGCCATTTTCCATCAGCCAGCTTCCCACAAGCAAAGCCAATGGGAAAAGCCAGATTTGCTTAACGACTACATGGTTCGCTTAGCAACTACAGGGATTTACTTAACAACGGTGGCAAAAAAAGTTGTAACCGCAACAACATGTTCCCAAAATTCCAAGTGCTGAGAACTTCAACAAATCAGTACTGAAGAAGCTTCTTGGTTGAGAAGTGAAACGTCTTCAAGGAAAAACAAAGTCCAGCTGCCTTTTGAAAAAGCGGCTACGGGTTCAGCAAATCATACGTAACCAGACACACTGAAGAGAGGAAAATGCAGAGATGCACAAAAAAGTTTATTGCACGTTAAGAAAGAAGACCTTTCTGTATATCCCACAAACTACAACTTCATTCCCATTTGGTGGAAGCGGATATAATCTGACTTTGTGATTAGCAAAACAAGCTCAAGGCTTAAAGCCAAACCAAAGCTATCTGTTCTGAAGCTCATCTCCTACCTCCATCCAGGTAGGCAATCCCCCTGGAATCACTTCGGTCAGCATCTTGAGAGAAGGTTACTAGCTAGCAGCACTGGCCTCCTTGCAGGATCCCAAGTGAACAGTGTGGAAATGTTCTCAACTGAATCATTATACTACAATGTATTTACTTTTGGATCTCTTGAGACCAGATGAGTACATTTTCCTCACTCACCTTGAGGCAAAAAAAAAAAAGGTCTTATGATTGACCTTTCAATAGAAACTAAGAAAGATTTAGATTGCTGCTCCTGCTGCTCCTGTCATAATCTCACTTGTGTGGACAGAATACAAATCTGACATATCCTTCTCTGTGGCAATTCCCCAAAGAATACAGAGGCTCTCTCGAGACAAAGGAAGATGGGAAAGAGAACTGGGAGGGGCTTCATGTCTTCCAGCTAGAGGTGCACAAGGCTGCACCTGTTCCAAGAACACTCTTTAGAATAAAGTACACGCACACAAGCATTGAACATACATCAACTACCAATCCATGTAGACAAAAGTCAGATATGCAGGGAGTCACCCTAAGGGTAGAATAAGAACAGATTCACATGCAGTGAAAACGCCCCAATTCATGCACCCAATAATTCCTTTGATACGATAATAGGCCATCAAGTTATTGTCAATTCTTAGTGACCACACAGATTTTCCCCATGACAATATTTTTATGACCTAGTCTTCCAGCAGTGCATCCACTGCCCCCTTTAGCTATGTGCAAATTTCCAGACTTCAAATTTGAGAAGCAAATGTGTGTGTTTTAGTGTAAACAATTACTGGACCAAGGGGAATAGGGTTCTGTTCTTCCAGTAACTCAGAACTTACCTATTGCATTTTCTCCCTCCATACACAGCCTGAACTTGCTATTTTGTTCAGGACCACACAGGATGGAAAGCATCCTATGCCACCTATGTAAAACTAGCAGGAAAAAAAATAATAAAGCAAGGAAACTTAGCATGCGATATGGCTTTCAAGCTTGCCATCAAGTGTATATTGTGCAATTCAAAGTGCTATAGAAGGGGTTTAATATATTTTTCAGAAATGCCCCCAGCAGGCTAGCACATGATATTAAAAACCCATCTCGCCCTAAATGCAAAAGAGATTCACTGCTTTGCACAGTGCTCATTTCAAATGTAAACTGCTTCCACTCATTCCTTGGAGAAAGAAAAATAAACAGCTCAAAGGAAGGGGGAAAAAAAAAAGCAGTGTGTCTAATAAAAAGTGCTGATATTTTAAAAGCAAGAAAGTTCCTCTCTGCAAAGAAGAGAATCTGAGGTGCATTATGGCTTTGTATAATGAGGTCTAATGTTGTACCCCAAATAGTATTTTTGTAGTATGCAAAGGTTAACATTACAGCACATTTCCAACAGGATATCTGGAAGAAGAACTGGTGTTAAAGGAAGCACATCTCAGGAGCTGAAATCCAATAGCTTCTAAGGATCCATGTGGTACAAGTAACTACACCACAGGGCACTGTTCTCTTAATGCTTTGGAAAAATAAGGTTCACATCCTCTCGCCTTCAAAACCTGGCATGCTCAATACCACAGGGACAAGGCTGATTTAGAGCCCCAAACACCAATTAAAACAATCCGAGGAAGCTCTTATCCAATGACAGGATGGGCTGCTCCCTTGACTTCCAATTCCTTGAGATGCTTCCAGGCACGTTCGGCACAGAAGTTAATTTCCAGCCCAGAACGCAGGCGCAACCAAGCCTCAACCTGTTTCCTCAGATGTTCAACAGGATTGGAGTCTGCAAACGCAAAGAGAGGAGTCAGAGACCTCACGGGAGATAATAATAATAGTAATAATAATAGTAAAGTTGGAAGGGACCTTGAAGGTCATCTAGTCCAACCCCCTGCTCAGGCAGGAAACCCTATACCATTTCGGACAAACGACTGTCCAGTCTCTTCTTAAAAACTTCCAGTGTTGGAGCATTCACCGCTTCTGGAGGCAGGTTGTTCCACTGGTTAATTGTTCTCACTGTCAGGAAGTTTCTCCTTAGTTCTAGGTTGCTTCTCTCCTTGATTAGTTTCCACCCATTGCTCCTTGTCCTGCCTTCAGGCGCTTTGGAAAATAGCTTGACTCCCTCTTCTTTGTGGCAACCCCTGAGATATTGGAACACTGCTATCATGTCCCTCCTCGTCTATTAAATTAGACATACCCAATTCCAGCAGCCGTTCCTTATATGCTGTAGCATCCAGTCCCCTAATCATCTTTGTTGCTCTTCTCTGCACTCTTTCTAGAGTCTCAACATCTTTTTTACATCGCGGTGACCAAAACTGGATGCAGTATTCCAAGTGTGGCCTTACCAAGGCATTGTAAAGTGGTATTAACACTTCACGTGATCGAGAAAGCCCCCCACCTTTGCTTTCTGGCATCCCTATCCCAGCCCGTACCTCTCTCAACACCTGCCTCCTTTGACAAGGGCTGCTGTGGTTGCTGGTGGCACCGCAGGAGGAAACTGTGTGCCAAGATGACTTCCTTGGCGTGCTCCTCCTGGGCCCGCAGGGTGAGGGCATCCAAAAGCTCTGAGTTATTGGAGGTGCTGCGGTAGTACAGCATATGCACCAGTTCGAGAGAGTGGATATTCCTCCGCTGGCCAAAGACCTAAGAAAACAATGCAGAATACAGGTAGTCCTCGACTTACAACAGTTCGTTCAGTGACTGTTCAAAGTTGCAACGGCACTGAAAAAAGTGAGCTACGGCCATTTTTCGCACTTATGACTGTTACAGCATCTCCACGGTCACATGATCAAAATTCAAATGCTTGGCAACTGACTCATATTTGTGACAGTTGCAGGGTCTTGGGGGGGGGGTCATGTGATCGGTTTTTGCAAACTTCTGACCAGCAAAGTCCAAAGGGAGGCCAGATTTACTCAACGACTGTGTTACCAATTTAACATCTGCAGCAATTCACTTAATAAGCGCGGCAGGAAAGATGGTAAAATGGGGCAAATTCACTTAACAAGTGTTTCCCTTAGCAACAAAAATCTGGGGCGCAATTGTGGTCATAATTCGAGGACTCTCTGTACAGTATTTGGCTCCTTAGGAGTGTGGGGGAGGGGAGGGTCAAACGCGTGAGAGACACGACAAAATGCAAGCTGAGATCCTGGCCTCTTGGAGGAAGCGCACCAGAGAGAATAGACACCTCTCTGCAACATATTGGGAAGGAAACTACGTACTTATGATATGCTAGTAAAATGTTTATCAACATTTCCAATATGGAAGTGCCTTACAGTTGGGTCCCGATGGCCAATATGCACTCCCTTTCAGCAGCCTCTCTTTACCGCTGAAGTTAAGGGACAAGAATGGAGAAAACTGCTGGCATCGTTTCCTGCCAGTGAAGCAGGAACCACAGAAATCATTACAAACCCTAACCAATTTAAGACACAGAGAAACCTCAGCCTGCTGCTTCTTGCAAGAAAGTCCTGTAAAAACAAACAAACAAAAACAAACAAACAGGGAAATCCCAGTCCTAAGCAAGGCATGACACTGTCTCCTTTGCATTTATCACAATGCAACTTTTCTCAGCCCCAAAAGTTAAGTGCAGCTTAAGCCCTCAAACAGTTACTGTACCTCTGCATCAAAAGTATTTTGCAGCTATACATTTTCGTCCCAAGCAAACCTTGATACCAAGGTCTGGACTCCCTTCCCGGATACATTTATTCAAAGAAAGCCAAAATGTCTGCAGGAAGACATAAATCTTCCTTCTACAGGAAGTTAAAGACCTTCTCTCTCAGAGCTGTCTCTCTGACAGCAGCTCTCCGTGTACTGAAAAAGAGCTCTTTTTTTCCTAGCCGTACCACATGAGATTTCTCTGAGCAGAAGACATGTGTTCTGCCATAAAGCTCTTGACAGCTGTATGGGGTAGAGGCCAAGCCTGCTTCCTGCCCTAAAAGAACCTCAATTAAATTAAGCTTGCTCCTACAAAGATAATCATGTCTCTCCATCTCCCTAGTCCAGAGCCCCCAAGAGCCCCTTCATGAATTGCCTATGAATTATAACCGTTTGTGTTACCGAAAGGGGAAAGTTATTAAAACATTATATTGCTGTGTTTAATTAATTTGAAGGTCTGAGCAGGATATTTATTGGCTCACGGCTCTGAGTTTCTGGAAACACTGGAGATGGACCTACCTTCCAAGCCCGGAAGGCCATCAAGGCAGCAAAGAAGAAGAGCAGGGTGGTGGTGCCTATCTTGAGGTCGGAGAGCACCACCATGCCCACATTTACAAAGAGGGCCAAGCCGCTCACAACCAGCATGGTGTTGATCAGAGCTCTGTGGAAGATGGAGGTGCGGACTTTGACCAAGGGCAGCAGCTGCTCCAGACCTTCCAGAGGGATGTCCTTAAAGCATTTCAGCACCAGATGGGCATTCTTGGATCGGGCAGCCACTACAACTCGTTTGAAGTAATGCCTGGGTTGGAAGAAAAAGAGGAAGAACGGAAGAAAAGCGATGTTAAGGGAGTGGGACACAGATTCTTCAGATGTGAGCCAATGATTCATGGCCTGCCACACTCCTAGACAGTATTGGCAGACTCCCCAAAATAAATACAAATTTTAAAAGGCTGAAATCTTATGAGAAAAATGAAACTCCCAAAATGTTGGTGTTTTTCCAATACGAACCGATGAATGAAAGCTGCAATCTACAGGTAGTCCTCAACTTCAGACCACAATTGAGCCCAAAATGTATGTTGCTAAGGTAGACGTTTGTTAAGTGAGTTTTGCCCCATTTTACGACTTTTCTTGCCACGGTTGCTAAGTGAATCCCCATTAAATTAGTAACACGGTTGTTAAGTGAATCTGGCTTCGCTGTTGACTTTGCTTGTCAGAAGGTCACAAAAGGGGATCACATGACCCTTGGACGCTGCAACTCATAAATGTGAGTCAGTTGCCAAGCCTCCAAATTTTGATTACTGGACTATGGGGATGCTGCAATGGTCATAAGTGTGAAAAATAGTCATCAGTCACTTTTTTCAGTGGCATCGTAATTTGGAATGATCATTAAATGAACCATTGTAAGTCGAGGACTACCTGTCATGTAATTTCACTGTCTTTGCATAAGATACTGGGGGAGAATGGGATTAAAAAATGTCAATATTGGGAGGGTTGTGTTTGGTTTTGTGAAGGAAAGGAATACAACTGACCCACCTGAAAAAGATGGCTGCCCTGATCAGCTATTTCAAGGTTCCTCTCTCCCACCCCTTTATTTCCACGACCAAAGCTCTAAATTCCGCAATAAGATATTTAAACGAACACATTGCTGGCCAGTTATTTTGGTTTTTTGAGAGGTGATCAATGCATTCACACGCTAGGCTGGTCATGTGCTTATACAATCTAGTTCAGAACATTCTAGAGCTAAGACGATTTTGGTGTCCTAGACCAGAGGTAGGCAACCTTGGCTCTTTTATGACTCGTGGACTTCAACTCCCAGAATTCCTGAGCCAGCATGGCTCAGCTTGGAAACCTCTCCCTTTCCCCTCAGCATGACTGGCTCAGGAATTCTGGGAGTTGAAATCCACGAGTCATAAAAGAGCCAAGGTTGCCTACCCCTGTCCTAAACTGTTATGTGAATGCTCTTCCCATCATTTTACCTCAATACCTTCAGGCCAGCACAAATAGCTATAGTAGGGTGACTGCCTACACAGGATAGAAAGTGGGTCACATGATTGCACAAATCAAGGTCATTATCCAAAGAACTGCAGCTACGCAATCACAATAACAACCTTTACTTTCAGAGGGTAGGTGCTGCCTGTGAAGACATCTCTAGCCTTCCAAATGCATCATTCAAAATAAGGTTTTACAGGTAGCCTTTAAGTTACAACAGTAATGGAGACTGCCCATTATGGTCAAAGTCAGGTGAGCCATAAGTGAATCTCCTCAGTTAATGACCCTCCCATTCCTGCTTTCCCTGATGCATTTGTTAAAAAAAATGTGCAGGTCATTAAGTGGAGTATGGAGTGCCTCAGGATTGGGGGAGACCCTGTGGGTCTTAGCACAGGCATAAGTCTATCTGCCTTGGGCCTCCTCACACCCCAAGATACCCCATGCTCCACTTCCTGCCCCTTGGGGTCCCCAAAATCACTTGGGTTTCCTACTCATCCCCCTGAAAAATAACACTGGCAAAGCTTTGGGTTTTCTTTTTTCTCACTAATGATAGCCTTAGGTCTGCCAGCATTAGCTGTGTCAGCATTAATTTTCACTCAGAAAAAGACAGCCACTTGTGCGATTGTGCTGCATTGCCCAGCAACAAAGTGGCCTGTTCTCCTTCTCCACCCAGACTACTTGAGCTCTGGAGTTCTTTAAAAGGTAAGTCAGCAATCAGTGACAGGAGCTAGGCTGGAGCATGCCGAACCCAGTGGAGTGGCAAAGCAGGCCCAGTGTGTGTGGGGACCCAGCGGGGCAGGATGGAGAAGGAAATGGGGAGCGTGCCGCAGCACCGTAAGGGCACACAGCCACAGAGATGCTGCAGGAGATATAATTTCAGAAGTGAGTCATAGTAACTTTGGGGGAGGGCTGTCATAACTTCAAGCGGTTGCTAAGTGACCAGTTGTAATTCGAGGACTACCTGTGTAAAAGCTGCCAATGCAGTCCAAAGCATGAGATACCTACGAGAGCTGCAATACGTGAGGGACCAGCTAGCATGGCAGTGTGTTGACAATGTGCTGACAGTGGAAGATTATATAGTGCAGGGGGCCCCAAATTGTGGGCCGTGAGGGGTGTGTAACTGGGCCGTGGAAATGGCTGGGAGGGCCCACATGCATCCTGACTTGTGCAAGCAGTGAGTGAATGTGTGTGTGCATGCTCCATTTGTGTGAGCGGCAGGCATATGTGCAGGCCGCTCACACAAATGGAGCTATGTGCACATGAGGATGCTTGCCAGCCGCTTGCGCAAACCATCCCCTCCCCCCACACACCGAACCACCAAGCCGGAAACGGGGAACTCTGATATAATAGACACGATAATTAAATCACTTGCTATACATTCAGTTCAATGAAACTGGTAAGTCTTTGAGGCAGATCAGTGCCAAAAAAAAATGTGGAATCTTCCAGGTCAGTGCCTTGTCAAGCTAAAATATCAATACAGGGTGAATGCCAAGAGTATGCCAAAAAACAAAAAAATTCCTCTTAGAGATTTCAGATAAAAGAATGATACAGATAGTCCTCAACCTACGACCACAATTGGAACCAGAATTTCCGTTGCTAAACAAGATTAAGTCACAGCAATTTTAGGACCTTTTTTGTTACGGCTGTTAAGCAAATCACTTTGAATTATGTGGTTGTTAAGCAAATCCGGCTTTCCCCCACTGACTTTGCTTGTTGGAAGTTGGCTAGGAAGCTCACGTGTGCCTATTACACCCCAGACACTGCAACCGTCATAAATACATGCTAGTTGCCAAGCACCTGAATTTTGATCACATAATCCTGGGGGTGATGCAATGATTTGTGAGGCTTGATTGTAAGTCACTTTTTTCCAGTGCTGTTGTAGCTTTGAACAGTCGATAAACGATAGTTGGAATCAAGGACAACCTGTATTGTCAACAGCTAAGTACCACCAAGTCAGGACCCCAAAAGGTTTCGAGAGCTTTCCATACTGCCAGAAGCTCCATTTCACTAAGGCAGTGTTTCTCAACCTTGACAATTTTAAGGCATGTGGACTTCAACTCCCAGAATTCCACAGCCAGCATTAAAATTGTCCACATGCCTTAAAATTGTCAAGGTTGAGAAACACTGCACTAAGGGGATCTTCAACTGGGACCATTTGGTACTGATAACCAGACCATTACTCTGAACCTCCCAATTTGGTAAAGACACATCCATTGTGGAGTAGTGTGACAGAATCTTGGAATAAATCTAGCATTGGAGTTAAGTTTGAACTGGAGCTGGAATAGGTAATTTGCTTGAGAATAAAAAGGAGCTGGAAAGCCCTGATGCAACTGTCATATCTACAGAAGAGCATATTCTACCAATACGGCTGCAGCCATAACAGCTGTGGAATATTGTGCAGATTTTGATATGGTCCCCCACGAAATTCATATCCTGACTCCTATATCGAAAACACTTTGTCCTGCAGAAGTAAATGTGCTGAATCAAGGAATGTGCCCCAAACTGAAGTGCATTAGCCCTAAAACTGGGAGGAATCAGAGGTGACAATTCCAAATTTATTGAAAGACAGAACGCAGAAAGACTCTTTAACATAAAAACAATGTCCCAGCTTATCTGGTTTCTAGATAGTATCACAACTAGATAGTATCACAACTGAACAATTACAGGTAGTCCCCGACGTACGACCATAATTGAGCCCAAAATTTCTATGATTAAGCAAGACAGTTAAGTGAATTTTGCCCTGTTTTATGACCTTTCTTGCCACAATTGTTAAGTGAATCACAGAAGTAGTTAAGTTAGCAACACGTTTGTTAAGTGAATCTGTCTTCCCCATTGACTTTGCTTGTCAGAAGGTCGCAAAAGGGCATCACGGGACCCTGAGTCCATTGCCAAATGTCTGAATTTGATCATGGGGATGCTGCTACGGTCGTAAATGTGAAAAACAGTCGTAAGTCACTTTTTCAGTGCCACTGTAACTTCGAATGGTCACTAACAAACTGTTGTAAGTCAAGGACTACCTATACTATATAAAAATATGCAGGCTTTAGAGGTAATGTTTTTGGAGCCATCAAAAGATAAAAAAGATTTTGAATTGGAACAGCCAATCTCCAAGAGGAAAACAGAGAACTCTCCAATGATTTTGTCAGATATTTATATCGAAGCTGGAATTCCAGAAAATGACACAGGCAAATCTGTGAGCGAGCAGGGAAAGGGAAGAATAAGTACACCATCACTATGTGGAGAGATATGGCTAGATAAACTCATTGTACCTCAAGAAGAAAAAATGAGGTCAATCATCTTTTTTAGGATTGTGGAATTCTTGGATTAGGAACTACAAGTAGTCCTCAACGTACAACCACAATTTGAGCCCCGAATTTGTGTTGCTAAGTGAGAAATTTGTTAAGTGAGTTTTGCCCCATTTTATGACTTTTCTTGCCATATTTGTTAAGTGAATCGCTGCAGTTGTTAAATTAGTAACATGGTTGTTAAGTGAATCTGGCTTCCCCATTGACTTTGCTTGTCAGAAGGTCGCAAAAGGTCACATGACCCCCGGACACAGCAACTCTCATAAATGCGAGGCAGTTTTCAAACATCTGAATGTAAATCACAAGACCATGGGGATGCTGCAATGGTCGTAAGTGTGAAAGACGGTCATAAGTCACTTTTTTCAGTGCCCTTGTAACTTCAAATGGTCCCTAAGTGAACTGTTGTAAGTCGAGGACTACCTGTAGTGGTATTTTATTGTCATGGAAGTAACTCAATTACCCTTTTGACAAAAAGTTTCAGATTTGGTCTTGAGGGGTTCTGATAGAAGAGCTCTGGAAAAAAAAGGGCAGATTATTATGGGTCACAAAATGTCATGGTACTGCCAATTCAGATGATCTGGAGTAGGGGTGTCAAACTCGCCACGTCACGTGACATGTCACGATGTATCACGACTTTTTTTCCATTGCTGGCAATGGGGTGGGCGTGGTTTTCCCATGATGCATCCGGCCTGTGGGCCGGCAGTTTGATACCCCTGATGTGGAGGATGCCAAAATCTGGAACAAACAACTGAAAAAAAATATTTGTACAAAAGATGAGATGATTAGAGCCAAATATCTCCATCCCGTTAAGAGGAAGAATAGGAAATACACAAAATTAATAACAAATAATAATAAAAATATTATAATTTTCTCCCCAAATATCTTTGCCCCTGAATGATGTTTCCTCAAAGCTGAATGGGACAATGTGGAAAACATTTCTGTGAGACTTCTATTCTGGTTAAGATGCAAACTAAAAATACAACCAACTTGATTGCTGAAAATTAACTGTCATCTCTATGATTGAAACCTTCCATAGTTGAAAAACTGAAACCTATTTGGCAAGTCTCATTTTTCATGTTATGATTTCATTCCATAATCTATTCTGCTTCAGAACAGTCTTGCAGGAACACATGCCAAAAATGTCATATGTTGCGTGGCATCCTTAATCAATTTGGACAAATCATAGTCAAGCATGACCAAATCTGCCATAATTTGTAAATAAAATAAACAGTATGGTAATTTGCTATGTCAAGCTATGTTAATTTTGCTATGTTAATTCATGAAGAACAAGCAATACGGTATTTTGTTATGCCTAGTAATATTATATCAGCATTAATGCAATCTTCTATAAAAATAGCTGGCAAAAAGTAGGAGGGTCCTGTTGGAATATAACTTTTTATCTAGGCCAGGGGTAGGCAACCTTGGCTTTTTATGACTCGTGGACTTCAACTCCCAGAATTCCTGAGCTCAGGAATTCTGGGACTTGAAGTCCACGAGTCATAAAAGAGCCAAGGTTGCCTACCCATGATCTAGTAGGCCATCACATTCATTGCCATCCTGCTATAATGGGTAGAATGGACCTTCTAGGATGAAAATCTTTACATCCCTTCCATTTTTATTATTTGTGCCTTTACATCCATTTTTTGACTCCTGGCAACTACCTTGCCGTTTTCTTTGGCAAGATTTTTCAAGAGTGATTTGCCATTGATTTCTTCTTCCTAGGGCTGAGAGTGAGCGACCAGCTTAATGTCACTCTAAGTCCACAGTCCCTAAGGCAGAATTAGAAATCACAGATACATCTTCTGTTACAAGTTAAGAATTGGACAATAAATTAAACACGTAAGCTTATCATCATCCAACAGAGTTGTTGGAAATTGAGAGCCATATACATTTTGATGTTTCTCAACCTCAGCAACTTTAAGATGTGGACTTCAGCTCCCAGAATATTCTAACCAGCATGCCAAAATCCACACATCTTAGTTGCTGAACTTGAGGAACATTGATTTAAAGGAACTGGGATACAGTAATCAAACCCTGTCAGAGCAGGGATGATGGAAAGGAGGAGCATCTGGCCAACCCAAATGCAGCTTAGATTTAGAATGTCCTAAAAAAGCTTCCGTGGGTAAATCTTAGCATTTGATGCACAGAAACATGGGTGGAAACATTTAACTTCTAAGAAAGAGCATTCATTTTTTTTGCCCTGAGAATATATTTTACAGTCTTCTATCCACAGAAATTTCAAGAAAAAGATCAGTAAGCTTATTTTATGAACATTTCACTTAGAAGTCATAAAGCATTTCCCTCCAAGTTGTAAAGCATCCCGTCTATAGTATCTCATTTACAACAGCACATAAAACTGGGTGGAAGGACCACAGCTCAGTAACAGTTTTACAAGCAAAGAGCTTCAGGTTTATGAGACAGGAAAAGAACCACATAAATTCACCACACCATGCAATTGATTTCTTAAAGATGTGACTGAACTATCTTGAAAAGGTGAGGAAAATGGCTGTTAGACTACATCCAGGATCAGAGATAATACGCTTCTGAATTCAGTGGCAGAGGAATACCTTGAGGGCAAAGTTGCTCTCAATATTTGGTGGTGGAGTCCTTTTAAGGTCCTACTCAGACTACCCGAATGCCAGTCTATGGTCTGTTCCATCACTTGTTCTTCTTAAGACAAAGTAGGTAACACCAACCTAGATGGACAGAAATCTGACCTGTTAGAAGGCCGGGTCTTGGGAATACGCTCCCAAAAGGATCTCCAGGTGACAACAGATACTAAGGAGATCATTTTTTTCTTGCCTGTCTGCAGGAATCCGTGCAGTGCCGAAGAAGCCCGTCCTCTGGGCTCGAGTTGCAGCCATCACCCGCAGAGGTCCTATCCGTTGGCCAAGAGCCCAGAAGGTGATGTATTCGTACTGATCCAAATTCACTGTCACCTGAAGAACAGAAGCCAGAACTGACATGAAAATACAAGTTATTAGGGACTCCCACATTCTGAACATTACAAGGCGATGGGGAAACAAGCCATCTATCACCATACTACTGCTGAAGCCAGCTGTAAATACCTGTCAGCTGCTCAAGTCTGCTTGTCTGTAGACTTCCCCAGATATATGCTGGGGAGTCAAACTGCATGTCAAAATCCAGTATCTTCTCAACTCTGCTGAGCAATACTTGGTAAAATGAGAGAGCCAAGTTTGTAGCTTGCTACCTCTCATAGCACCTGTTAGCTCTGGGAAATGGTAAATTTAATTGTTTTTTATCCTGCGCTTATTATTTTTATAAGTAACTCAAGAGGGCAAACATACAGTACATAATGCTCTTTCCTCCTCCTATTTTCCCAACAACAACTCTGTGAAGTAAGTTGGGATAAAAGTGACTGGCCCAAGATAACCCAGCTGACTTTCATGCCTACGGTGGGACTAGAACTCACAGTATCCTGGTTTCCAGGCCAGCATCTTAACCACTACACTGAACTGGATCTCTAAGGAAAATACAATGGCTTGTATTTCCACCTGTTCTATGAACCAGCCATCTGGCAACTTGTAGCTGATCTGTAAACTCCAGGAGATGTTACAACAGGCAAATCTGGTTTAAAAGGGATGGATTTTCTCACTCACCAAAATACTATGTTATTATGGCCTTGGTGAAGTACACCATGGATCTGAGAGGAATGGTCAGCCTTAGCCCCAATCTGAAGTGACCAATAGATTCAGGTTGATCCCAGGTTCAATGGGTCACCTGACTGCCTCCAAAGTAACAGGAACAAATTTTATATACTTTGTAGTGGCTGTTAAATACTGCTGGGTTAAGGCTGAAAACATCATTTTAACACTGAAATATCTAAGGTTTTTGTTGCTTTTTCAGGGATGGGTTGTGAAAAAGATAAAACTACATGCCCCCCCCCCAAGAGAAAACCCAACATGCCAAGGCATATGTATTACATGCTTGGATGCTAGTGGGGCAGGACCGTACATCTATAATGGGAATTCTATGCCTAATGTAAATATTTTTATGTGTGATTTCTCTGCAATCTGAAATGGGGAAGTTTTTGCTTACAGTCTCATTATCTCAAGCCAGGCACTATCCATTTCCAGCACTTCTGTCTTTTCAGCCTCTTACAGCTAAAATGCAAATCCTATCCCTTTCCTTCTCTTTTAAAATTTGATGAACTGGGATTTTCTTAGGCCGTGGTTACGCACAAAGGCAAATTATATATGAGTAGAACCATTTGTTTGGCTCTTTAATTTTTCTTACATTTTATGTGGGTTTTTTTAGCAAATACAAAACAGATGCAAAAATAAATAAATAAATTGGAATACTGCATCCAGTTTTGGTCACCACAATGTAAAAAGATGTTGAGACTCTAGAAAGAGTACAGAGAAGAGCAACAAAGATGATTAGAGGACTGGAGGCTAAAACATATAAGGAACGGCTGCTGGAATTGGGTATGTCTAGTTTAATGAAGAGAAGGACGAGGGGGGGACATGATAGCAGTGTTCCAGTATCTCAGGGGCTGCCACAAAGAATAGGGAGTCAAGCTATTCTCCAAAGCACTTGAAGGCAGGACAAGAAGCAACGGATGGAAACTAATCAAGGAGAGAAGCAACCTAGAACTAAGGAGAAACTTCCTGACAGTTAGAACAATTAACCAGTGGAACAACCTGCCTCCAGAAGCAGTGAATGCGCCAACACTGGAAGTTTTTAAGAAGAGACTGGACAGCCATTTGTCTGAAATGGTATAGGGTTTTCTGCCTGAGCAGGGGGTTGGACTAGATGACCTCCAAGGCCCCTTCCAACTTTATTATTATTATTATTATTATTATTATTATTATTATTATTATTATTATTATTATTATTATTATTATATAAATCAGAATCTGTCAAAGGATAGGCAAACTATGAACTGAATGCGATCCGCAAAGTTCTGTTTTTGGACTTCAAAAGTCATACTATCCAACTTTGGAAGCAAACTATCAAGACACATGATTTATAATTTTTTTTTCAGCTGAAAACTTTTTTTTTAAAAAAAGTATAATTCTTCTTTTAGATTTAATACCATTCAGCATCTACCTGCTGCCTCAAAAAATAAAGAAAATTATGATCCCTAGCAGCCAAGATATCCTGCCACTAGCCAGAAGGAATTTTGTACTCTGTATGTATTACTGTATGTATTAATTGCATTTCATTTCTTAATAGATAGTAGCAATGTTTTACGACATCTTGTAAGATGCCCAAAACTGTAAATATAATGAGCAACATATAATTTTCTAATAAAGGAACTACATGTTAATTATGAATAAGTCACAACATAGGCAGCACTTTAGTTAAAAGACAAATCTATGGAGAAAAAGGCCAAACATTTCTCCAGCATCAGACAGTACATGCCTCTTAATATGGTCCTTTGTAATTATGACGGTTGAGGAACACAAACAAGCTGTCGTTCATATCCTGGTGATGACTTTTTGATTGGCACTAGACCAGTTATAGGGGAAAGAAACTGTGTGTCTTAGTTGCCTTCAAAAGATATCCTGCTGGACAAGATCAAAGTAAGGCAAAGCAAAAGACTGAATAATACTGAGAAGGTTGGAAATTTTTATCTGTGGGCTTGGAGAGATCCAATACCATCCAAAGAAATTCTAGGATTTTGTTCCACTCATGTAATTTGCCTTTGTGCATAAGCCCAGCCTAAGAAAACCCCACTTCACCAAACATTAAAAGTGAGGGAAAGGGATAGGATTTTCATTTTAGCTATAAGAGTCTCAAAAGACAGAAGTGCTGGAAACTGATAGGCCTTGGGTTGAGAAAAATGGCACTGTTAAACAAAAACCTCTCCATTTCTGATTGCAGTCAGAGAAATCATACATAAAAATGATCCACACAAACAGAAAACCAATCAGGGAAAAGATGAGAGTAGGAAGAGGGGTCTAGAATAATTTACCACACCCAATTTGTCATGGCCAACTCGCCGCAGGAGAACTTGCTGTAGGACAATTCAACACTGTATTAATCATTTCATTCAGTTACTTTTTAAATTAGTGACCATGTTTTCACTGAAATTATTGTAACTTGTATTTCTGGATTGACTATTGTTATTGGCCATGGTTCCATTGAAATTGATTTATCTCTTGTACTTGTTGAACTGTCCTGCAAGGAACTGTCCCGTGGCGAGTTGGATGTGGCGAGTTAGCCACGGCGAGTTGTCCCATTCCAAGGAAGAGAACCTGAATAACTGAGATTACAAGAGGTGTGTCAAGGAAAATCCACAAGGTATCTAAAATGTCAGTTTGTTTTACCATTTCAGGACCCCTTCATCCTCTATCACATATAACATAGAGGGGACACCTGAAGGAAAAAGGTGGAGTGGGGGTGATCTTTATTGCAGGCCACACCTGGACTTCATCATGAGGGTGATTGACAATTAGTGCATAAGCCAGTGCTTCATCTGACAACTTGTTGAAGTTGGCCTGATCCAATAGTGGTTCCATCTTGGCCAAAACTCCCTGTTCTTTTATTAATCGTTCGGCATCTGTCAAACAGAATTCCTGTAGTGTGTCCCGATCAGGATCAATAGGTGTATAGAGTGTCTAGAAGGGGAAGGCATAAGTGGGAAGATTAATACAGTTAATATTAATACAGCATACTTGTTCTATCCCTGGTCACCGTGGGCAATTTATTATTGAAATCATCATCACGCAACAGTGGGTGAACAAGTAGAAGGAATGCATTACTGGTAGTCCTTGACTTATAACAGCTCATTTAGTGACTTTCAACATTGCAGTGGCATTGAAAAAAAGTGACTAACGACCATTTTTCACCCTTACAACCATTACAGCAGGGGTCTTCAAACTTGGCCCTTTTATGACTTGTGGACTTCAACTCCCAGAATTCCTGTCAGCATGTCTGACTGAGGAATTCTGGGAGTTGAAGTCTACAAGTCATAAAAGGGCCAAGTTTGAGGACCCCTGCATTACAGCATCTCCATGGTCAAGTGATCAAAATTCAGACGCTTGGCAATCAATTCATACTTATGATGGTTGCAGTGTCCCAGGATCACGTGATCACCTTTTGTGACCTTCTCTGAAGCAGAGTCAATGGGAAAGCCAGATTCACTTAACAACCGTGTTACTAATTTAACAACTGCAATGACTCACTTAACAATTGTGACAAGAAGGGTCATAAAATGGGGCAAAATTCACTTAACAACTGTTTTGCTAAGCAACAGAAATTTTGGGTTCAATTGTGGTTGTAAGTCGAGGACTCCGTGTATTCCATCTTTTCTCTACCAGTTATTTAGTTTCCATGCTGAAAGGGCAGAGAGTGCAGATTTTTCTTCACCAATCAAGAATAGGAATGTAACATTTCACTGACATTCGTCCAGAAAATATTGGAGGAGGAGGATAGTTATCTAAGTTGGAGGTGGTAAAAATCAGAATTTGGCAGCATCTTTTCTGACCACAGTAACACATTTTATTAAAGGGCGTAAACTTTAATGTGTTAGTCGGGAAAGATGCTACCGCTCTCCCTCCGATTTCTCATGCAGTAAATGTGTACCAGAACAGGGGCCTCCAACCTTGGCAACTTTATGACTTGTGGACTTCAACTCCCAGAATTCCTCAGCCAGCATAGTCCACAGTCCAGCACAGTCCACAGTCCAACGTCCACAAGTCGTAAAATTGCCACGGTTGGAAACCCCTATACTAGAGTACAGAAAATTATGCTGGTCACTGTTTATGATTTCATCTCCTTTGGGCTCAGTATTTTAGCAATTTTTGGTCAGGCAAGCAAGCAAATAAATGTCAATCTTGATTCCTGCTCAAGATTGGAATTGTAACCTGCAGGATGCAGGAGAGCTAATTCTCCACAGCTCTTTTATTTTCAAAACAAAATCACCACAGAGGGTGAAAGCTGATGGGAAATGTTGTTATCGGAGCAGCTGCAGACATTCCTGCACTTTATAAACATTTTTGGGATGAGCAATAGTCTCATAATGCATCCGATAGCTATTAGGCCTTGATTCAGAGAACACACTGGATCAATTTTAAAATACACTAACATACTGCAAATCACAGTTCAGTTTGTGACTGAGAAATGGCTTTACTGGAAATTTTGGACTTATGACTCCAAATGGGATTGTACTGCTAAGCAAGGCAATTAAATTCCATTATTGTTTAATGTCGTTCCTGATTTTACATCCTTTTTTTACCACGGTTAAGTGAATCACTGCAGTTGTTAAGTGAGTCATGCAGTTGTTAAGTGAATCCAGCTCCCCGCCCCCTTGGCTTTGTTTACTGGAGGCTGGTTGGGAAGGTCACAATGATGATCACCTGACAGCAGGACACTGCAGGCATTGTAAATATATGTTGGCTGCCAAGCACCCTTATCTGATCTTGTGATCACCGAGATGCTGCAACGATCGTTAAGCAATAGGACTGGCCGTGAGTCATTTTTTTCAGTGCCATTGTAACTTCGAATGGTTATTAAACAAATGGTTGTAAATCGAGGACTACCTTTATTACAATCTGACCCATATTCAAGATTGAGACAAGTTGCCATGGCTTCATATTCATAATGGAAGGATAGATGGGGAGGGTAGAGCAATTTCTCCATCCTTTTGCGTTTCCATATTCATTATAAGGAAAAGGCAGCTTCTACCTGTTATTAGCAAAGGAAGTCAGACAACCCAACCGAGGAGGCACACAGTTACCCCCATTTATCTGCCATCCTACTTGGCAAGGGGCTATTTTTATTTAGAAAAATGGCAAAATGCTATGTTTTTTTTTTTAAAAACAAACATTTAAATATTTGAGGGATACTCAGTAATACTAAACACCCTTACTAACAGTTGTTGTCCTAACAGCCACCTCCCTTGCTATCTTCTACATAGACTGGAACAATTTTTATAAAGTGACTGCAAAAAGAAAGTTTGCAACTACCTGTAGCTGCTCCAAAACAGAGTAGTAATGGTGTACAAGGGACGAGTCCACTTGAGACACAAATTGCAAGAATGAGATGCGTTCTTCATGACTAGAAGAGTGGAACTCCTGAGAAAGGGGAAAAAAGGCAACCCGGTTCACCCCTAAAATGGCCAAACCAGTCGGTTTAATGAGATGTTCCTTGGGTAGTACTGTACCAAAATACAGGCAGTTCTCAACTTACGACCACAGTCGAGCCCAAAATATTGTTGTTAAGTGAGACATGTGTTAAGCGAGTTTTGCCCCATTTTACAACCTTTCTTGCCACAGTTATTAAGTGAATCACTGCGGTTGATAAGCTAGTAACACATTTGTTAAGTGAATCGGGCTTCCCTATTGATTTTACCTATCAGAAGGTCGCAAAAGCTGATCACATGACCTTGGGACACAGCAACAGTCGTAAGTGTGAACCAATTGCCAAGCATCTGAATTTTGATTGCATGATCGTGGGGCTGCTACAAAGATTGTAAGGGTGAAAAATTATCATGTCACTTTTTTCAGTGCCATTAACTTTGAACGGTCACTAAATGAACTGTTGCAAGTTGAGGACTACCCATAAATATAACTGTTTAGTCAGGTCTGGTGCATTGCCATCTCTGTAGTTGTGAATTAGTGGCCTATCCTTGTGCTGCAGAACCATTATCCTTATAGTTTTCCATTTATTTCCAGCAACTTCTCTTTAATACAGCTTAAAATTGGTTCGACATAAATGTTTTTGAACATGACCTGCAATAATATCCACAATAGGAATTTTGCAGTCATAGCTACTGGGAAATTCCTCTTTCCCCAATTCAAAACTGGTCTACAGTGGTAAGTAGCCTAAATTCTTCAATAGGCATGTCTGAAATTTCATTGAGATATGGGCCTCTTCTTAGAGTTCCATCTCGACAGATGAATTTTTGGATAACAGGTCAGTTAGCCAACATTTCTAGTAATCAACGTATCTTGGAATATTTGTGCAGAATGCCAGATTGTGAATTTCTATCTATTAGAGAAGTTACCACTGTTCAATAACAGAATACATGTTTTGCATGTAGAAAGTTCCATTTTAAAAATCCAATTAAAAGCAGTACAAAGTAGTAAATATTTTGATATTCTTGAAATTATAACAGTTTAGGATATGCAGATTTGACATAAGACAACTTTCTAAAGTCAGATATTTTAAAAAATTCAATAGCAACATGCAGCTCAAACATCTTTTTAACAAAGCAGGTAGTCCTCAACTTACAGCAGTTCGTTTAATGACTATTTGAAGTTACAATGGCACTGAAAGAAATGACAGGAGCGTTTTTCACACTTACCATTGCAGCATCCCCAGGGTCACGTGATCAAGATTCGGATGTTTGGTAACTGACTCCCATTTATGACGTTTGCAGTGTGTCCTGGGGTCATGTGATCACCTTTTGCAACCTTCCGACAAGCGAAGTCAATGGGAAGTCAGATTCATTTAACAACCATGTTACTAACTTAACAACTGCAATAGTTCACTTAACAAGTGTGGCAAGAAAAGTCGTAAAATGGGGCAAAATTCACTTAACAAATATCTCAATTAGCAACAGAAGTTTTGGGCCTAACTGTGGTTATGTCACGGACTACCTGTAATGAAATTTACATCTTCAATTATATGCTTTGTGTCTCCACCAATGAGAGAAAAAATTGAATATTTCATAAACAGACTTCAAATTTCCAATTCATACTTTTATGTTTGTCCATTTTTTTATCCATGACTATAGTAAAAGTGGCCAATTTGGCAGTAAAGAACTTCTGGACAAGAAAAAAAAATCCTTATTTCTATAAGTTTCATACATCATTATTAAGGTAGGTAAATATAGCAGGATCATTATCCTTAATTTGTCCTATATATATATAATAAGCATTATAACTGAGCACTAATCCAGGTCTACAGTGCAAAGGGCTTACACTCTGTGTAATCTCCCTCTGCCTAGTGGTAAGATATTTCAGAAGAATTCACTTCATGTTCTCCAGATCACTGTTGTCCAATGTACTCCAGACCTTAGAGGTCAACGTTTTATAATTTGTACTCAGTACAGATTATTTACTAGACAGCTTCTGTCTAGTAAAGGCCATTCTACCTTTCTAGAGTGAGTCTCTCTATTACAAGCCTTCCCATGTTAAATGAGCAAAATGTACAGTATTTAATGATAAAAGATCCTAAACATCAAATGATCAAAGCAAACACAAAGGCTTCGAGGGCAACATTATGATGTTGCTGTTCATCAACCATCAAGGCATTTAGATAACTACCAATTGTAACCAGAATTCCTCTTTCATTCCCTTTTATATCTTCCTACAAAAGCTTGTAATTTGTCACCCTTTCATTTTTTTTCATGCCATGCCACTCATCATACATAGAATAACTGCCTTCTCCTCCTCTCCACATGCTATACTTTTCCTCCATTTGTTTTACTTTTGTTTAGCAAAATTTAAATCACTGTTTCCTCTACTCTTCAATTTCCACTCGAACAGCACTTTGTTTCAAGAAGCGTTTTCATTTCTTCAGAATGTTCTCTTCCAAAGGTTCATCCCATTTGGCCCATCTGATCACTTCAGAAACTTCACCCCATCAGGAAAGATTTTTAAGATTGGTTTAATTCAAATTCTACATGTTCATGAAACAGACCCTACTTAACAGGCAAGGGACCTGTCTTGAGAGCTCTGGGATGAAGAAAAATTAGGTTTTGCAATCAAGATTGCAGATAATTTGCCAAAAGAAAACACTTGGTATACTAAAGCAAGCACTGACTGGGCCAAAAGAAACTAAATTTTGGAATCTGAACAGATCATGCACATCAAGTAAACCAATATACAATATATTACTGTATAACATTTCACACTATTCCTGTTTGTGTTGACTATGAGAAGGGATGACACGTTTTGCTTGCTTCTATGATTTCACCAAGTGCTATCCGGACGTTCTAAAATTTGCTTATGCTGTTTTAAGGCATGAAATATTTTGAAAGCTGAGAGGGGTGATTGTGAATGTTGCTTTTGTGCAATGCATTCAAGGGATGTCAGAACTGACACAGAAGCCTATTTTTACCTTTACCAGGGCTTCAACCAGTTGATTCTTGGAAAACGGGATGTATTTCTCCTGATAATCCACTGCCCAGTTCTGTGGTTCTGTTGGCTTCCACATCTTCCGATATTTCACCATCGTGGCAGCAAGGGAGGCCTTGCCACGCAAAGACAATCCTATAATCTTGGTCCCCAGGGCTAACCGGGTTATGCTCAGCATTCTGGGAGAGTCCAAAACTTAACAGTTAAAAAAATGGCAGCACAGTCATATCTATCTTCCTTGGCTAAGTTTTCTCAAACTGACATTGTTTTGCAACCACATTGCTTGAAGAGCTGCAGCAGGCACCTTTTGAAGCAGCAAATGTAGAAAACTTTGAGAAATCAAGTAGAGCAAATCGATCTTTTTGATAAGCTGCTGGTAAAGAGTGCTCAGTCATTTGTGCATGGAGGTACCACGCACAAATGACAAGGTACTTTCCCCACTACCACCACCCGCAATCACATGTGAAAGCTCACAACCAGGACAGAACAACAGGGGTTAAAAAGTCACGGGTAAAATCATCAGACTATCCGAACTGTTGAAATTAAAGGCCCCGACCAACTTACAACCCAAGCAGGTTTTTTTTTTTTCTCCCTCTTCACACAAACAAAAAACCCCTTTCAACTACAGATCCAATTCAGGCACCCCCCCCCCCCCCAAAAAATCCACTATTGGAGCACCGAGCTCTGACCTTTAAAAAGAAGCCTGACATTGAATTTGGTGGAACATGCGCACAATGTTTCTTTTTCTCTTCCGCCCTCAATTCTAATCCTTTAGCTATTCCCGGGAAACTTCACGTTGCATCGTGCGCTTGCGCAGTGGTTTAGGTCGATTTTGTCGCGAGCTAAACTGGGCCCATAAATCAGAGATAAAAAATTTAAAAAGCTACCCGCAAAGGGTAAAACGTATTTGCCCATCAACTCTGTTCTATTCAGCAAAATACCGTTTAGGGTCAGAATGGAACCATTCTGTATCATTCGTTTTTTACTCAATGAGTACTGAAAACATTTCGATTTAAGAGAAGCTGAGTTTGTTGCTCTATACCATTTTCCTTTCCTGTCTCTATGGCCAAACCACGGGGCGCTTGCAACAATCAAAAGAATTCCATAGTATCGGAAATTCTTTCCAATCCGTTTATGCGCATGCGCAGTACAGCTTAATTCCTCCTTGTTTGGACCTGCAAAAGATGACTGCAGTTCCTCCGCCGGGCACACGGGATTCTATAGAATCCTCGCTGGCGTCATTCTAACTCCCGCCCCCAACAGTCGTTTCCAACTGCCCTGTTGAACGCTCTAGCGTTCGAAAAAAGGCACTGGCAGCTTTCCCGACCATTCAGGCTTCGAGTTCTCTCAAGCGCTTTCCCCCCCCCTCCATGGGCACGTGACGAGATCGAAAAGGCGGGAAAAACTTCATTCCCTCATTTTCCCCAAGGGGTAAGTGAGGAAAGAGGGCGCTTCCAAGATGTTCTAGGATGACCAGGAAAATGTAAAGCGCTGAATCCTTCATTTCTGAGTAGGCTTTATCGTGCAGTCCCTTTAATTTGAGCTTCTAATATTTCTCCCATCTGCCATTTTCAGGATGTGTTGTCCCTGTTCATGTGTAGAGAGTAGGGATTGTGAGAATTGAAGCCAATTCCAGGCTGAGGAAAGGAGACTAAATTAAAAAATAAGGGACACAGTTTGGGTTCTTTGTTACAATACTTTCTCCAAGGCAAAGAATATATGTAGCCATAGTTAAATATTGAGGATAACAAAACAGTATAATTACCATGAGGGAGCAACTTATTTTAATATATTTAATTGCATTTTAAATGGATCCTTCTTTAGAAATCAGAGGCTACACAGTTTTCCTTTTCTCTTATTTTATTCTAACAGCACAGAAACAGTGCCTAGATTAAAATTGCCCAGCAAGTTTGAGCAGAGATTCAGTCCAGATCCTCTGTGCTAACACTGTTGCCATTGTTTTTCAGTGGTTCTCAGGTAGGAAAAGAAATCAAAGGAATAGGTTTAGGGCTGCATTTACACATGGAATTTAAAATAATAGATCAATTTCTTATTTGCTGTAGAAAAGTAAATCTGTACAACCAAATAGGTAAGTTTATTTCTTTGAAGGGAGTAACTCAAGAAATTTGAATAGTAAAACTTTTTTCCACATAATTTTTTCAGACAAAACTAATCAGATTTGCAATATTTACCATGAAATTAGATTCTGAGAACAAAATGAAAAGGCATACTAGGTAAATAACATCTTTTGAGCAGTATTTGATGGTGCCAACTGATGTTAGCCCTCTTTTCCACTAAGAAATTTAAATATGAGCTGAAAAATGATATTTAACTATGCACTCAAAAATGCATGAACTCATCATATAATTGACGTTCTGGTGCATATCTTGGAGTGATGGTAACAAACATGTAGCTGTCTAAATAGAATTATATTGTGAAACTCATATCAGAAGTATGGCTATCACTCACTAAATGCTGCTAGTTCATTTTGTTGTGCAACTAAAGGAACATTTTTAAATAAATGTTGTTATCTTAAAAGATAATGGAAAATTCTATACATTGCTTCAAATGTTTCATAATCACAATTTTGTTGGCCACCTTTCACATGCCTAGTAGGTTAGATTAAAGACTTGCCAGGCTGTGCTGAGGCAGAAACGGAACTCCAAAAAAACAACTCTATTCTTTTTTTTAAAATGTTTGGTGTTGGTAGATACAATTGTAGCAATATTTGTATTATCTTCTTAAAATCCAGATAATGTTTGTCAGCTTCAATTCACAGCAACTTTCCAGATTCAACTTTGTTCTAATGATAAAAAGACAACTACAGGATGAGAAAAATGACTTCAGTCTTGCGGGACCTTTCAGACCATGACATGGTGCACTTCTTCATACAACCTCAGATTGTTGCTAGAACACTAGCAGGGGTGAGACAAAATAACTACTTAATCATAGCTTCTATATTTGGGATCACATATAGTTTCTGAAGCAGTTTTAACTTCATAATTCTTTCATAGTGCTCTAAAATTATAATTAGGAATCAAAAAGAGGCTATGACCACACACATTATTAGGATAGGTTGTACTATATCAGAATAACCATAATATTTTTATTCTCAAATATAATCCAGTCCTTTGCTTTATAAACAAGTAGATAACCTGTGACACATTGAGTCATTTCAGAGATATTTCCTTACTAAAACAAGAAACAGAATGACCATGGGTAGGTAAAAAAGAAGTGAGAATGGGAGCAGCTTCTGACTTCCTGCCATCTTTTTCATTGACTTTCCTTCTAGGAAGCTGAACTGCCTGCCTTCTAGTTTTCTTAGCATTTGGGTCCACATCCCAAATTCTATTATCTGAATAATAATATATATGTCTTATACTTTTCACTTAGTGTAATCATTTTGTATACAAATGTGACTACCTCACTTCCGTACTACAGTACTTGTAAAATAAGGTTTGTTATTTTGGTTTTTTAAATTACGATCAAGCTATTAAGTTCAAAGCCACAAATGATGATTTGAATAAGATTAATGTCTGATGAAATATCTTAAATATAGGGAACATTTAAAGCTCAAGTTGCTGATAAATTCCTATCAAACCTATGGAGACCTTCAAGGCTTAGCCTTGGCATATATACCAAAGGCATGTAAGCTGCATGCAGTCCGTTCTCAGACATGAGTATGGTTCAGCATGGGCTCAAGTCTCTAATTTCCTGAGTTATTCACAAGCTTTTTATTGAGCTGCTTGTCTTGAGGAAGAGATGAGATAATTATGTGCCTCCCTGTCCATAGAAAATTCAGGTGAATAGCACCTTGGTGGACTACTTGGAAAATTATTTTCCACCATTGTTTTTCTTCCTTGTTTTAGCTGTGCTATGGACAGTATGTATATCCTTTGGGGCAGAGGTAACGCTCTGACCCCCACAGATAAAAACCGTTTCCCTGCTCCTTATGTTGGCTGTAGAAGAAGTGATGATCAGGTTGATTTTTCTCTCTGTCTCAGTGCAGATTCAAAAGAATGATGTTTGGATCAGTTACAAGAGTTGATTGCAAAAAACGTATTCCATGTAATGCACATAGTGTTCAAACATTTGTATTTAATATGTCCATTTCTTTCTCTTGCCTCAGGTGTTCTCTCTGGTAATATTTGCCTCGTTGGTGTCTGAAGGATATCAAAACTTGACAACCTCTTCCCAGCTACATTGTATTTTTAATGATAATGGGGCAGTCTGCTGCTTTGGCATCACAGTTGGTGTACTTTCTTTTCTCCAGTGTCTCCTCTTTTTAGGCTGCGATGTCTATGATACTTGCATTACTAATCACAAGTTCAAGTATGCTATCCTTGTACTGGATGTTACTTTCTCTAGTGAGTAACTTTTTTGTTATTTTGAAAATAATCATAGGGTTAAATTTCAATATTTAACAATAATTAGCAGATAGCTGATGCCTGAGAACCCCAATATTCTAAATATTTATAGATCTATCAAAATTGTTCTCATATTTTCTCACTCCTATACTATCCCTCCAGATAGCAAGCCATTACAATCGTGATGTCTCCCAACCACCTCTCCCCATTGAAATCACAAGTTCTATCAACTTGAAAATGTCAACCTTATTTTACAATCCAACTGCTGTTAGATTTGATCTACGTTTGACCATGTTGTGATTATACTATTACTGATCTTCCATATGAATCTATCCAGTTATTAAAATTTGTTTCAGAGGCCCTTCTTTGGGTTCCTTTATTATTTGTATTGACAATAAGCAGTGATGAAAATGGGCACATTTCTAGGCTTTGTACCTTGTTTCCAGGGAAAACAAGTTCTCTTCCATGCGGATTTTCTATTAAAATTAAAAATTAAAAAAATGGGCCCACTGTAATTATTTTATTGCTGTTTGTTGCCTTTATTTATTGTTTTTAATATGTCTGATAATTATCTATAGATTTCTTTGAGAAGTTGAAGGCTTTTTCTTAATGAGGCAACAGTACAGAGTCAATAATTGTGGAAAGAAGAGATAGAAACTCTGTTTTGCTCTGCCCACTTTGCAGTTTTAGGGCACTTTATGTTTTTTTATCTTGTTTTCTGCGTTTTTAGCTATTTCAAACTGCTTTCTTTTTCTCCCCAAAAATGTATGACCTTATGATAGTTTATTTATTGATCTGACTGATGGTGTACACTTTCTTCTTAATATTTACAAAAGATTAACTACATTATTTAGATTATAAGACCTAGCTCTCTAGAGAAGACTCTAGTGTTAGGAAAGGTGGAAGAAAAGAGAAGAAGAGGATGACCAGCAGCAAGCTGGATGGACTCAATCATCAGTGGGTGCACTGATGAAACACTTTAAAGACCATATTAGGGACTGATCACTATGGACATTTTTTTTAATATGGTTGCTAAGAGTCAATAACTTGATCATCATATAGTTACTCATTACTTAATGACCAGTTGCTTAACATTTGAAGTTACGAGGGACTTCAAAACTACTTTTGATCCATCCTTAAAGTTCTGACTGCCACACCCCATCCTTGTGTCACACTTCAGATGCTTGGCAACCAGCTAAGAATTAGACCAGTTACAGCATTCCACCAACACGAGTGCAATTTGCAATGTTTTTTTGCCGTTTTCTAGCAGAAAACGGCAAAAAATGCCCATTAGATATGCTTGATTCACTTAATGATTATGTGGGGTTTTTTTTAACAATCACTTGATTTGCTTAACAGCCACAGTAACTCACTTAACAACCATTGTAAAACCAGTTGTGAAATTGAGTCAGGTCACATGGTAATTCTCTTAACAACTGCAACAACTTATGACTAGAATTCTGGGCTCAATTGTGGTTGTAAGTTGAGGACTACCTGTAATCACTTTTTAAATATTTATACATTATATCTTTATTACACTATCTTTTACACTAAGGAGTTGTTCTGGGGCTGGATAGTGAAGAGCAGTACACTTATTAAATCTGTACCACTAAGTAATATATTATCTTCATTTTTAGAACAGAAAATGTTTCAAAAATAGATTATAGATTCAGATCCTGATTCAATTCCTTAATAGGATGAGTTTATAGTAGTACTTTATATATCATCTTTATGAATAGACCCAAACTTTTCATAAAATATTTTCATATTTTAAGAATATAGTTCAGCTTCTATCAATCAAATCATATTTAAACAAGATTTTGGAATAATTTATTCCAAAATTATTTTAATATGTGCTGGTTTGAAACTGAAACAAAGCTATTGTTGCACAAGTCCAAATCATAAAAGTTAAAGAATCCTCAAATTTCTTACAGTACCAACATAAAAAATCTAATATCCAATAATTTTTAAGTACTGGTGCTCTAGAAGTGTACTTATACAGGGTATGACAAAGGAATTTAAAAAAATGAAAATACTGTGTTTTTTTTCAGATACAGCAATGGGTCTCACAGGGCTTATGCTAACATACAATTTATTTGTTTGTGTCTCATTCTTAGTTATCTTCTTTCCTCAGTGACATGGACATGCCTGTGGTTTATTGGATTCTGTATCCTAGCCAATCAGTGGAACCGGTCAACTCACTCCTACCTGCTGGGAACTAGTGCTGCACGGGCTAGCATTGCCTTTGCCTTCCTTTCTGTTCCATGCTGGGTGAGTCAGTCAAGTACATCCATTATTATTTCAGAATGAGTCTGCCATGGAAGCAGAGTACATCCCTGCAGAGTATCATTAGCCACAAAGATAATTTCACCTTATTAAAGCCAAATGAACTGCCTTAAGGAAGCATATATCATTAAATCAGATGATAAACACCATAACGGATGGTGTTTACTTTTCAATGAAATTATTTTTTTAATTGTAAATGTTTGGTTCAGCATGCAAAATATATGTGTTTGATCATTTCTTAAATGTACTGCTACAATGTAGGTATTTCAAAAGAATGTATCAGACTGAGCTAAATCAAACTAACACTCCTATGTAACATTTAGATTTGGAGCGGTTGCCAAATAGACAATCATATTATAAACCTAATTATCTTATGATTCCGCAGATACCACTGAACTACAATTTTCTAGCAGCCTTCACTAGAATGGCTGATTACTAATAGAGAAGGGAGATGGGAGTTATAGTTAAGTGACATTTAGAACACCACAGGTTCTGAACCCTTGCACTATTCTCAGATTTTGTCAGAAGCATACACAAGATGCCTCATGTTTGTGTATTGAAATAATATACATTTTCTGTTACTATTTGATTTCTGCAGTTTCTGTATCTTCCATTGTTTGTTGGCTTTCCTTGTAATTTTCTGTACTATCATACCTAGAGGTCCTTAGTGATCTCTGAGCTTGGTTATTTTCTTGCAGATGTTTCATTACCAAACTAGGGAACATTGTCAGTGCTGATAATGAATAAAAACAAGCTCAGAAAGCACCAGGGACCCCACAGTTCAACCCTGAGCTACAATATTCTCTTTTATTGGAATCATACCCGGGTCACCCATTTCCTGCAAAGATTGCTTCCAGGGCATAAATAATTTTGCATTACCATGAAATGGGCCCCTAATTCCTTTAGACTGGTAATTAAAGTTGATGGTTCATATTGAAGACATCAAACCGACCTACACTATAAGCTAATTTTCTGGGATGTTAGTATTTTAAGTATAGAAATACAACAAAGAGGAAAATGTGCCTACTTTCTGTTTCAAAATTTTAAAGTTACAATCTGGTTTTTTTAATTTCTGGGAATGAGAAAACTAGCCCAGGAATGAGTTCTGAAGTAGGTTTATTCCTTCATTTGTTATGGAACTGGGTGACTCACATTTCCCATTAAAAATATAGAATAAATCAGGAGGAGTCTTCATGTACAAGCAATGGTAGTACTCATTTATTTACAAACTTGGCACAGAAGAAAGTCAAGCAATTCAGAACTCAGGCTAGTCCATGAATGATGTTCTTTAACTCAGGAAGGCTGAACAGTTAACATACATTTTACATCCAGCAGGGACCATATTGGTAACAACTTACTTGACCTCCTGCCAAGCTCAGAGCATTTTAATTCCCGCTGCTTACTCTGCTAGTTTGCTAAGTACATTTTGCAGAAAGTACACCTTTGATCAAAGTCTTAATTTAAAGACTGCAGAGAAATTGCAGATTTTTTGTTAGTTTCTCTCAGTTATGAAGAGAGATGATCACAATTAACAGGAAATTAATGAATTGAGACTAAACTTTGTAGAAGCAATGTGGATCTTTCTTCTGCAAGTTGTGTTTTTCTGAGTGCTTTATAATTTTATCACCAATTTAACCAGATGGATTGTTATGCTTTCATAGTTTCCTGGATTCCTTAGAGCCCTTTTAAAAGCTTGGTGGTAATAAACTGCTTTCCAAAAGTTAAGTATAGGGATAGTTAACAGGGTCAAGATTGTAAAAAATATACCCGTGTCTAAAAAATTACCCCAAAAGAAGATGACCCTGAATTGTAAGGTACTTCAAGGAAGAGTACACCGAAATAAACAAGTACAGGAAAAATCCTATCATATAGCACACAGAATTAATACAAATGTAATTAATAGCTGCTGATTATTGTTTTTTTCTATTCAATCATGTCTGATGCTCAGAGACTACCTGGACAAGTCCCTGCAGTTTTCTTGATGCACTTTTTTTTTTTTCAAAAGTGGCTTGCCACTGCTCCCTGGGGCTGAGAAAAAGTGACTGGCCCAAGATCAGCCAGTTGGCTTTGTGCCTAAGCCAGATTAGAACTCAACAGTTTTTCAGTTTCTAGCCTGATGCCTTAACCACTACACCAAACTGGCTCTTGATTTAAAATTAATTGCCTGTAAAATAAGATACCCAATTTATTTTTAAAATATCAGTCATCTGCATCTATTTATCACATTCTACTCCATCTTAGGAGAAATGATAAAAAAGAAGCAACCCTTCCCACCTCATGCTAGAATGAAAATGGGGGAAGGCTAAGGAATAGATGTATGGGGAATGCAAGGAAAGAAAATGGGGGAAATAAAACTGGAGATGAAGTGATGGAAAGAGATAATTGAAAAAGAAAGGAAAGTTCAAGATTTAGGCAATACTAAAAGCAGGCAAACAATCTCCTCTATTAATTTTTAGGAATATTAATTATTTAAGAATATTTCAAATAATCAGTCACCTGTGCCTTTCAGTAACAATGGTATGAGTCATTGCAGCTTCTGCTCATTTGTTTAATAGCAATATGGAAAAATCCCTTTCTTTCCGATTTCCAGATAATTATTTGGAGAAAAGTATAGTTTTATTGGGTAAATACAATTAATTATTTTTCCCAATACCACTGCCTCAACTAAAAATCCCTTAAATCTGTTTAGTTGAATTTATGCACAAATAAGACCACTTTTCTTAGCAAACCAACTAGGAGTTCCTAGAGCTTAGCATTTTTCTTGGTAACCTAAATTTTCTTCCCAGACCTTACAATTACATTCTCCCACCTTATCCTGAATTCTTAAGCATTATCTTGCAGCCTTTTAAAACAAAGAATGATATAGTTGTCTCTACTCTACTCTACTATGTATCCCAAACATGGATTATTAAAAGCCTCTTTCCTTGATAATACATTGACAGATCTACCATTCAGCACAATGTAATATTATTTTAAAAATATTGCACTGCCTACAGAATGTATGGATTTCAGACAGATATGGGAAGAAAATTATTTTTTCAAGATGCGGTTCTTGGGACAACATTAAACATACAAACAGTTATTACCACTTTAAGCAAACAAGATTTAACATGTGATAGATCAAGCATTTGTAGGTCCGTATTTGGGTGTAGTGCTGCTTGTCTATTGTACACACACCCTGAATGTCAAACTGTATAGATTGTGTGTCAATGGCAAGAAAGTATTCAGACTACTTCACTGGTTCATTCTACCTTCTACTGTGAGAGGGATCTTGGACAATCACTTAAATATGAGCCAGCAGTGTGCTGCAGCTGCCCAAAAAAAGCCAAAACAGTTCTAGGCTGCATTAACAGGGATAGAATCATGTGAAATGTTAATAACACTTTATAATGCCTTGGTAAGGCCACACTTGGAATACTGCATCCAGTTTTGGTCACCACGATGTTAAAAAAGATGTTGAGGCTCTAGAAAAAGTGCAGAGAAGAGCAACAAAGATGATTAGGGACTGGAGGCTAAAACATATAAGGAACAGTTGCTGGAATTGGGTATGTCTAATTTATTGAAGAGAAGGACGAGGGGGGACATGATAGCAGTGTTCCAATATCTCAGGGGCTGCCACATAGAAGAGGGAGTCAAGCTATTCTCCAAAGCGCCTGAAGGCAGGACAAGAAGCAACGGATGGAAACTAATCAAGGAAAGAAGCAACCTAGAACTAAGGAGAAATTTCCTGACAGAACAATTAATCAGTGGAACAATTTGCCTCCAGAAGTTGTGAATGCTCCAACACTGGAAGTTTTTAAGAAGAGATTGGACAACCATGTCTGAAATAGTACAGGATACAGACTGTGCTTCCTATCTATTACAAAAGACCTTCTTGGGCTCTAGTTTTTCATTGAAATCCAGCATGACTGTGACCATATACGTGACTCTTGAGAATATAATCATATAGTCATTGATATTTTGATATGTAGGAGACTTCATAAACAGAGTATATGTATTAGAGACTTTTACCATATAATGTAGGGGGGAAAAGTTTGGACTCAATCCAGACTAAAATCAAAGATGTTCTTGCTTTCCTCAAAGGATCAGGTCCTCCAACCTAGATGCTATTGCATTTTCCCCTCTCTAATCCTCTGCTAGCCTAGCTGCCTAATCTTAAAGCTAATATTTTTTGAGACACAGAACCCTACTAAAAATCCCAATTGTTGATGGGAATTTGTCCTGGAATTTACAAAAATTTACAAATATTCAATCAATATTTTGATACTATTTAAAATTCTATGGCTTCACTTTACTCACATTTTCTCTGAATGTTTACTGAAATGTACATTTTAGTTCAGGAAGTACACATATTTAGTAGGGGGAAACGATTGCCTGTATTTGATATTTATGGTATCTTAAAACCATATTTGGATATTTATGGCTTGTAGATATTTATATTTGTAGTTTTATCCACATATTGTCCTGCATTGCAAGTGGGAAGAATAGTTAATTTGTAGATATTCTGTTCACTGCAGAAAACATACATATCACATTAAGGACTCAATACTTGTTTTCTCAGTTTTCTCCTAAAAATCCTATTCTGAAAAGTTTTCTCTTTTTCAATTCATCGTTTGAAGATGATTAAACTAAGTATATTTCACTTATTTCTGTTGGAAACAAAGTGGTTGTTGCAAAACAGCTGAAAGAATATATTACTTATCAAGCTAAATATGTAATCATTTCATAAACCTTCTTTACAAACATTATTTTAGAAAGGCTAATATTTTATGCATTATTATACCATATTTAGTAATATTATCCTACATCACCCAGGACAAGATCAAATTTCTTATCATAATAGAAGACTACAGATACCTGACTTGACACCGCTTCTCTTCCATAGGGATACCTAGCCTATCTGGCTGTGAAAAACCTGTGGGCTGAGCCACCTGTGCCGTATAAGCGGACGCTGGATGAAGGATCTGTTGCTCTAACCACCCTTTCTACATCCACCACCACCTCTCTTCCCAATAATATGGGGTTCCCTGAAAATGTGGGTGCAGCTTCCTATCCATCCACACCTGTACCCCATCGACTAACCTTAATGAATACCGATAACTAGACAGTTATTTATTCCTGTAGTAAATAAACATTTTACTAAAAAAAAAATCAAAATGTTAAGTTGATTTTACTGAAGCAAAGCAAAAATAAAGATGGATGGACAAGCAATTTGTAAGCACAATATAACAAGTGGTCATTGTATGTTAATAATAATAATACACAAAAAGCCTCATAAAGCCTGAATGTTTATCTAGATCAGGGATAGGCAACCTTGGCTCTTATGACCCATGGACTTCAACTCTCAGAATTCCTGAGCCAGCATGGCTCAGCATGGAAACCTCCATTTCTCCTCAGTATGACTGGCTCAGGAATTCTGGGAGTTGAAGTTCACGAGTCATAAAAGAGCCAAGGTTGCCTACCCCTGATCTAGATCCTTCTGTCTTTCTTGGGATGGTATACATACTGATTGTTTATCCCTTAAAGCCAAATTAAGGCTCATGTATTGGGACTTGTGTCTTAAAATGCTAAAAGTCATCATGCAGGAGGAAAAAATAATGCATGTGGAGTTGCCAGGGTATTATGCTATATTTTCAGGAATGGATATAACACTGTGCAGGTATTATACTTAAAAACCTCTTTTAAGACATAAAAGCAAGCATGTGGGAAGAGACTAATATTTTCTATTCTCTATTCAGTTGTTTATCTATAAGCAATTGGTAATCAGGTAGAGGCAAATTGTGAAACTGGTATGAACAATTCTGTATATTCAGTCTTTATCCTACCAGACTGATTCAGATGCTCGATACTGTTTATTTGGGTTATATGACTCCTACAGTAGAGTATAAGATTGTGTAAAAAAAACAAACCAGTATGAACACAGTGGATTCATCCCAGATGGTCAGATGAAGCTGCCATAATCATTGTGGCAATTTTATAGTTCATGTGATCAAGAAGCGGCTACTAGCTGTTGCAGGCAGTATCTATGTAGCACAAAGTACAATTTTTTGCAAGGAGTTCCATGGAAAATGTAAATGATAAAGTGAGCTACCCTATCCTAATAATGATACAGTATCGAATTGTATTTTTAAGTAATCAGCTTTCTACAGGAAGCAACTGTGGAACCATGGTAATTCACAATGACCAAAACCAGACAACAATTGCTGCTGAATCTTAATTATGTAAATAAGCTCCAAATCTTAGCCTAGAAATTCATTTTCTAATGGCTAATCACAATTCAAAACAAATTTCAAATTTCGCTTTATAAATTTAAGAAAACCAGCTACGGAACCATAGTAGAGAATTACTTCAACAGATAGTACCGTATTTATTCGAGTATAACGCGCACACGTGTATAACGCGCACCCCTAATTTTCGATTAAAAATGAAGCGTCATATGCAGAACGTTTTCTCCTCATACCCTGAGTTGCCATCTAACAGGAAAGGGAAGTGCATCTCGCCAGTTTGGGCCGCCGAGCACCGCCGCAGCCTCCCAGCAGCAGAACGGCCCACCCCCCTCCCCTCGCTTCTCCGCGCCGCAGCCTCCCAGCATTCCCCTCGCTTCTCCGCGCCGCAGCCTCCCANCCCCCCTCCCCTCGCTTCTCCGCGCCGCTGCCTACCTTTCTGGAGCCCGTCACCGCGAACCCGCCGGGAGCCCAGAGGAGATACCTCGAGTATAACGCGCACCCAAACTTTGATTCCTTTTTTGGGTAGAAAATTTTGCGCGTTATACTCGAATAAATACGGTAATTTAGTATGGCAATTTAGAAATGGCTCTTATACTGAATTCAATGAGATTTATTTCTAAGTAATTGTATACAATTACATGTTGTGTGTGCAATCTTGCCTTCATGGTTTCAAAGCAAATATTCCAAAGATTTTGCTTTTGAGTAAGCATACATATACTTTAAATCAAGGTGTAATACAAATTGGAAGTCTAGATTGGCTGAAACATGGCTTCAATTAGTTTCACTGATTGTTCAGGTTCATAGCATTAAAATTGTTCTTGTCATATGAAAACATACAACTTTGTTATCAATTCAGAGATGATGTATCAAGAAGCAGCAGTTACGTGGCATTTATAGAAAACATGTTCTAATACAAGCATTTAATATAGACCCCAGGAGAATAAGTCACTGCTTTAAGAGAGATCAGAAAAAGCAGGATAAAAAAGTTAATATGGGACAATGAAGACATGAATAGCACAATATACCCTGAAGCACAAAGATTACAAACACGGAAAGCAGAATTTATTTTTATTTAAATTCCCATCCTTCCCACGAAGGCACTAATTAATAAGGGGAAGAGTTTTTCGGTTTTATTTATAGTGGATGAAGATTTAACCATCAAATAATACAAAAATGAAGAGAAAGTAAGTGACAAATATTTAAAGGAGAAGGTATTTTCTTGCCACTGATGTTTCAAAAAGTGAGATCCAAGGAAACCCAGACTTAAAGAAACAATTTGTAAGCATTCCTGTCTTATCTGGATAATTTTGTAGCACCAGGCCTTCATGAACAGAAAAGCTTGCATTTCATATTAGCAGTTATCAACATGACACCCAAACTAAGAGGATACAGATAACAGACTTTTTGAAAATGTATTTCCTACTTGTGCTGATTCATCAAAAAATAATACTCAAGCATTATAGACACAGAGAATGATCAAAATGGGTTAAAAAAACCCAAAAATCTACAATCTACATATTAACCAGGAATAGTCATTGTTAGCTTGGGATTCAAGCTGTGCTTCACTTCACCCCCAACTATAGCAGTCTGTTTTGTAGAAGGACCATCCGTTGTTTTGTCTCAAACCACGCTTAGATCAAAGTTCTGGGTGGAAGTTGAGATCAATAGGACACTTAATATTTTTAAAGAAATCTCAATTTTCTGTGAAGCTTTCCTTTCATTCTCCTTGGCCAAAGTATTTAGTTGCAGTCTTGATCTTAACTTATGCAGGCAAACTCAACTTCTTGCCTTTTAGAACTGCAAGAGAAAATAGAAATAAGAAGAGGTAAGAACTTAGAGACGTGTACTTCATTAAACTTTAGGCAACGTACCAAATAATATGGTGCCATTGCTTCTAGAGAGAGAAAAATGTATTTTTAATAATATTTTAATTAAACCATTAACCAAGAACAGTCAATATACACAGTGCACCATAAAATTTGTGCTCTTATTTCATATGCTGATAGCAATGCTTTATTTTTATCTATCCATCCATCAAATTTAGATATTGGCCATCTCACCCTCAGAGTGACTCTGGGTGGTGTACAGATAAAAGCATAAAAACAAAAACCACATAAAGATATATCAATAAAGGGGAGCCAGGTAAAACAAGGACAGATAAGTTAAAAGTCAGGGAGGACTTGGGGGGGGAGGATGTTAGTCATCCTATCAAAATAGCACCATGAGCACATGATATATGTGCATTAGCAAGACTGCCCTAAACAGCCTTTTGAGGACTGAGCAATTTTACTGGGCATGGAATACTAACATACCGTTATGGGAATCAAAAAATGAAAAAAGATGTAGGACAAGAAGTCATGGCAGAATAGAAATATTACATACTGCTACTTCCACTGTATCTATTTCAATAACAATCCCAATTGTCTGCCTAGCAAAAGCAATACAGGGACTCTTCAACTTAATTGGGAGCAGGACTGCTGTCATTAAGCAAAGATGTATACAGTATAACCATTGTGCTTAGTGCCAGAAATCCAGGTAGTTCAGTTGCTGTTGTTAAGTGAATGCCCTGGAAATTAGGTGAAGCAATTTCCTGGTGGCTTCCCACAATCTACTCAATGGGAAAACTGGTAAGAAGTTAAAAGCTCAGGAATTCTGGGAGTTGAAGTCCACGAGTCATAAAAGAGCCAAGGTTGCCTACCCCTGCCCCAGGCGTTGCTGGGTGGAAGACAGGAATGAGGGGATGTGAGGGACAAGGTGTGAAATGCTTGAATTTTCAGCTCCAAAGGCTTCTGAAGCCTCTCTACTCTGGGCGTGAAAATCCTCCTTGGCTGAAAACTCTGGATTTCAGCACAGTGTTTTCAGCCAGCTTCCAGAGAGGCTGGAGGCTGAATGAAAAAGTTCCATGCCAAAAGCCAATGAGGAATCTGCAGAAGTAACTCTGTGCCAAAGAAGAGCCCTCTCAACTTGGGGTGGGTGGGTTTGAAAACACCCTGTGCCAAACCCCTGCTTGGATTTCAGCATGGAGCTTTTTCAGCCAGGCCCCAGAGACGACAGAAAAATCTCTAAGCAGGAGGCAATGGCTTGCAACCTTCCCTTCTGGTTTTCCCATTGACATTCTGGGGAAGCCAGCAGGGAAGATTGCAAATGGTGATTGCATCTTGCAGGACCCTTGGCAGCTGGTCGTAATTGCAAACAGGATGCCAAGTGCCCAGATCACAATCACATGACCGTAGGGGTACTGCAACAACATAACTTCAAGGACCTGTTGTAAGTCCCTTCATTCAGCATCATTGTAACTCTGAACAGTCACTGAACAAACAATCGTAAATCGAGGACCACTAACGAGTGGAAAATATAAGTTGCAGAAATCCAGAATGTTTTTTTAAATCAAGTAACAAGAACTGGATATTCTTAGCAACTACACAATGTCAACATCTGTTGAAGAGGGACAGGAAAAGGGTGGGGAGCTGGACTGAAATGGGATTTCTGAAAGAAGACATCTCTAACTGGCAAATTAAAACTTTTTCTTATGTTTGCTTTTAAGTCTCTGTATATTTTGTAATTATACTTTAGTGGTGAATGTATGCCTATGTGCATTTACAGAGGTCTCCAAACTTGGCAATATTAAGAGTTGTGGACTTCAACTCCCAGAATTCCTCAGCCAACCATGGAGATCTTTATGAATGAACATAGACTGAATAAAATCGTAGACTTTTTTTTTTAAAAAAAGACACATTTCGTTAAGGATTTCAGTACTCAACGAACAATTCAAATAATTTTGATGCTACAAGTAAAAATAGTAAGAAAGCAATACATATTTGTCAAGCAATTGCCCTTTAATAGAATACCTAATTTGATTTCTAGTCCAACAGATTTTATTTTATTCAATCCTACAGAAATAGCTTTTTAGTGCTCACTGTTTGGAATATGTGAGCGCTATTTTTCTGCAACTTCTTTTTGATCCTAGGAAAAAAGGTGACGAAACTGCTAATTAATTTGTCAGCTTACAATTAGTAAAGAGCTATTAGTTAATATACCTCCCAGCATCAAAAAGAATTGAGTTTAGTTGAAGAGTGCCCTCTAGTGAACTTCCAGCTTAGCAGTAACATTTAGTCAACACATATTGAGACATGGTTGAGATGTTGATTCCCAAATAATTTTAAAATCCCAAGCACCTTGCTCAAGGCCAGAGAATTATTTATTTATTAAATACATTTATATGGCCGCCCAACTCAAACCTGGTGACTACAGGTGGCAGGGCACTTCTTCTTTATCTCATACTAATGGGATTTCAGTCAGGAGATCTAATTTCCACTTCTTGTTGCAAAATACCTTTTGTAATGTAGAGGTAGAAGAAATCGCAGTACAGTATCGTTTGCACCAAACCAGCCACAATGGCAATGAGGTCGAAGAACCCCTCAAACTGGTAGCGCCAAATCCAGTTGAACAGGTAGAGGGCACGGTAGACTCCCAAAGCGAAGAGGTAATGACTTGTGATGGTCTCTGCCTCACCTGTTTTACTGACCATGAAGAGTTGTGGCAAAATAGCCACTGACTCCAGGTAAATGGAGAAGGTCCAGAGAATCTGGAAGAATCCAGGAGAAAAATAGTTTTATATTTTCTGATTACATCTCATCATATTCACAAATTTGCATTGCCGTGAACATTTGTGTGGTCCACCATTGCCCTGCAGGATTCAGAACAGATTTGTGTCATAGACTTAGGATATGTCTGCTCCAACTCACTTTTTGATACTTTTGTCTGTGAAAGACTGCAAGGCCTAGTGCAACATGTATCTCTTTGCAAACTCCTCAATAAACCCTTCTACTGAGTGTTTTGTGAATTCCATGTACCTCATCCCTTAATAGGTTACAGGTAGTCCTCAACTTAACAACCAGAATGGAGCCTGCCCATTACAGTCATGATGGGTCATGCAGCAGGCCATTACACGACTGACTCAATTTTATTGTCTTTTTTTTTTTGCAGTGATTGCTAAGCAAATCGCTATGGTTAAATGAATCCATGATCGTTAAGTGACTCTGTTGTTTGCTATTGGGCATTTTCTCCCCAAACTGGAAGTAAATGCTGGTTTTGGACAGAAACTTCATATGGCCACATGACCATGGGACACTGCAAATGGCCATAAATGTGGGTGTGTATGTGGGCTGGCTATCAGAACTGAGTAGTAAATACCTTTGGGGAGGTCTGTCATAATTTCATAAGTCATAAATCAAGGACTACCTGAAGGTAGTAATCAAGGTAATCAAGTACTAACAGCTGCAGGACTTGGGTTTGGCTAGCCGCTAGTCTAAAGAAAAGAAGAAATGGGGTGACATGATAACAGTATTCCAGTATTTGAGGGGCTGCCACAAAGAAGAGGGGGTCAATCTATTCTCCAAAGCACCAGAGGGCAGGGCAAGAAACAATAGTTGGAAACTGATAAAAGAGAGAAGCAACCTGGAATTAAGGAGAAACTTCCTGACACGTGAGAACAATTAACCAGTGAAACAGCTTGTTTCCAGAAATCATGGGCGCTCCATCCCTGGAGGTTTTTAAGAAGAGACTGGACAGTCACTTGTCTGAGATGGTACAGGTTCTCCTGCTTGAGCGGGGGGCTGGACTAGAAGACCTCCAAGGTCCCTTCCAGCTCTATTCTATTCTAATTGACTTGAGAGAACAGTCTATATAAATGGCAGCACTGAGTCAAATATTGCCTAATGTCTAATCATAATCATCATCATCACCATCTTAGAGGAGAAACTCTTGGAAATGGCTACAGGCCAGATCAAGAAGTTAAAATCAACACCATCACTATCACCCTCGACTAAGACAGTGCATCACATTTCTGCATTCTTGTCCAGAAAACTACATGAATAAGATTGCCAGAAATCAATCTTGTCTTGAAGTCTGAACTTTTATATTTTCTGCCTAAGGCTGAATCCAGGCTGAATCAGTCATGCTTCTTGAGTTGCACTGAATTCAGTGAGTCACAATGGTCAAGATTTGGCAAGTTACAACTAAATTATGTCTGGATTCAAGTACTCTCTTGACACTTCTGTTGCTCCAACAGAAGTTTGTTGGTTTGTTGTTCTGCTGGTTTGTTGTTTCTTCCGGAAAGAAGAGTTTCTGGTTTAAATAACTGCAGGTATATCACAATTCTATTTCAGTACCATTTAGTCAACACATGAGCAGATAGGAATAGCTGAATACATGTGGCACCGCTTTGGAAAGCAAAATTAATTCAAGCTTGTAATTGTAAAAGGAACTAGCTATAAAGTAGCAGAACAAGCAGGGACTAGAATATTAAGGATGGCCATTTGCCAATTAAATGAGTAATTTTAGCAATAGGACTAGAACACATCATATAGCTTGCAAGTTAGGTATCTGGAGCTTAGGCTTGTTTACACTAGCACACATTTCATTACCTCTAGGGGTGTGAAATCATGATTTACTAGGAACGCTAACACTGCTGTCGGAATGACCAGGAATTCCACTCTGAAGGTATCATGGTTGCCATCATAGGTGGCTTTGAATTTGTTATAGATCATCCATACCGTAGCATAGGAACAGGCAACATACACCACCTGCAGGAGATAACATCGATCAAGAACTGTCACTGAGATTAAATATTATTTCATCTCTCAGATATTTAGTGTAATCAATCCCAAAACCCTGAACCTTTCAATGCCTTTCCCTTGGAATCTTTCTGAAAGATTAGGGTTCCTTCTTATAAACTAGATCCCGTCTTTAAATTCCCTCATTTATATGAAGTATGAGGAACTTGAAACCTTCTAGATATTGCTGAACTACTGTTCCCAAGCAACTTGCCAATGACGGGTGCCCAAATTTTCAAGTTCAGCATTATCTGGACGGTCACCAGTTCCCACAACTGTTCTAATGACAACTTTAACCAATCATTAAGCTGTTTCTATCTCTAATTGAGGTACACTGAGAATTGGGACTCCGATCTCAGGAATCAACTTAACATATTCTGCCACTGTTTTTCAAGGCCAGAGGTGTCAACCAACATACTGGTTTTATCTTTTAACTGATATAATAATATACTACCTGCTTACATTTAGCTTATCCAGGATTACTCACAGGGCAAATAATTTCTTTAAGACTAAAAACTAACATTGCTAACAATTGTCTAATACTTATTCTCTGCCAACGTAGCACCTGATATCCACGTCAAAATCTTCTTCATCAACTTAATTCTTTGTACTGTACAAATGCTGCTAACATGACAAGCTCTGTTACAAATAAATGAAGACTTCCTACTTACCAAGCAGGAAGTTTCACTAAATTAGGAGGATATACTTTTGGATTCTTTTGCATAAACCACCATTATAAAAGACTATTTGCCTTATCTCCTCCTCTTTTATAGCTGATAGTGGTGCCACATTATTGAAGCAAAATGTGCATACAGAAAGAAGTACAAGACAACAGAAACTTGTAACTATTTTATTTTGTGTGGCACCGAGCCTATTAGCCTTCTAACTAGTCACAATAACACACTATATAGTCCAACATCACTCCTGTACCTTCATGGAGGTGTTATACAACGAGATGTAGTTCGTAAATAGATCTAGGTACCGAGTAGTGAAGACAATGGCAAAGAGAGCTTGGCTCTTCCCAGAGATCCCTGCAAGAAAAGCACAAGGCACCATAACTCATGATCAGATGAGAAAATAACCATTTTTGACATTAAAAAAAAAGAGCAGAAAGTCATTATCTTGATCAGTGGCTCTCAACCTTTTCTATACCCTGCACCCCTAGAACGCTTCTGATATAGTCTCGCACCCCTTACAAAAGTTCAAAATAACGGCAATGAATTATGCATATACACTATAATTTTGAAAAGCCTGATCTTGATCCTTAGGAAAAACAGAGAAGATCATTTAAAACTCTTCAGGATTCATCATCCAATGTCACAACTCCTTAACACAAAGAAAGTTCATAGCATTCAAACATTCAGAAGAGGCCTGGAGCTGGCACAATAAGAGGTAGCCCACAATGAGAAGGCATCATTAGCAAGGGCAGTGGTCTTTCCAAGATCTACTCATGCTTTTTCTTCCAAGTCTAAAAAAATATACACCCACAATCTGGTTTTCCTCTTTTTCTATAGGGCAGTGATGGCGAACCTTTTAGAGACCCAGTGCCCAAACTGCAAGCCAAAACCCAGTTATTTATCACAGGGTGCCGGGTGGGCGCGGCTGCGGTGGTCATGGCAGATTAGGTGGGTGGAGCCAGGGTGGCAAGGGCCAGTCCCTCACCATCTTTGGGGCATGGCACATGTGCCCACAGAGAGGCCTCTAAGCGCCGCCTCTGGCACACGTGCCATAGGTTCACCACCACTGCTATAGGGCCAAAGGGGGTTGTCAGAAGGAAGAGATCAGACAGTTTTATCCAATCCCACCTCAAGTAGTTTCCATTTCATTATTCATTGCTTTTAACAAATTAGTTTAAAAAAAAAACAAGAAAGAACAACATCAACTTTTCTGCATTAATGCTTCCTTTCTCCCTGCCCTTTTTTTCCAAATCCGGATCACCATTCACTTTTTCAAAGCAATTCTTTCTCTAAAAGCAATAAATAAGAGACTTTAAATATAGAACACGGGTTTCAAATATTAACCCACAAATACTGGGTCTTTCTAAAAAATGTGTCATACCAGATACATATATATTAAGGGTCACAACAACCCAGTTGAATTCCAGAAATATAAATCTATAGAAATAAGTTGTTTTTTTTAAAAAAAAAAGGACAGACAGACAGACAAAGAGACAAAGTCCAACTTGTGTCACTTTGGAAGGTTTACTCTGAAGTAACCTGTCCTATAGCATGGAAGTTAACTCGCATAGTATACATAGAGAGGAAGGATTTAAAGAAGAGAGGATTAGAGCAATCTGGTAAATTGCACGTGTGTATCAGCTCCCAAGTTAGTTGAGCCTCAGATCCATCCATACATGCACTACCGGTAGTTCCATACAATCACTTTCAGGCCAGAAATAAAGTCACCTAGAGACACAGGGAAGGGATCAGTTGATCTCCCCTTTCCTCCCCCTCCCCCGTTTTCCTTACCAGCACAGGATCTGGTCTTCCAGATCTTCAACAGCAAGATGATTATAGCCAACAGATGCGAGATGTCTCCCAGGAAGCGGAACAGATTCATGGCGTTCCGGATGGGCTGCCGGAGAAAGCTTCGCTTACTTTCTCAGTGGGAAATCTGCCGAAAGAGGAGCGCCTTGGGGGTGGGGTGGGGAAGAGGAGATCCTCAAAAAAAACCGAGGGGGCGTTGAAGGAGAAATGGCTTTATTGTCTCCCACTTTTGGCTCTGGCCGGATTATCCGGGGAGAGACATAAGGATGGCTGGGAACGAAGGCCACAAAAGGGGAGGGGAGAAAGTCTGGCCACACCCACAGGTGGGCTGGGTTAATCCAGCGGGTGGGCGGGGCAGCGGGATAGAAGAAGAAGGCTTGCTGTAGTTCGCCGGCGGAGCCCCTCCGTGAGGGGGCGGGGCGTCTTCCTGGGGAGCCCGTTTTGCAAGGAATCTCTTTTAAAAAAGAGCAATTCATATTTCTGTGGAACAGCCTTCCGTCTGGCCGTGGGAAGACAGGGCCGGGGCGACCCGCGTGGCCCGATTCCTTCACACCCACCAGAAAAGGCGCCAGTGAGGGGAAGCAAAGGCCGGGTGGGAGAGCCTTTGCTCGCTCAGGGCTGGGCGGGCTGCATTGTGCTGTAGCAATTAATACACGACCAAGAATTTTTAAAGTCTTCTCGGAGGCGAGCTCGGGTCTGATTTGGCGGGCATCTTGCCCGAAGCAAGAAAGAGGAACGGCTCTGCTTTTCGGGGAGGGTGCCCCCCCTCCCAGAAGCCCCTCCCCACAAACCGTCCCGCTCAGCTGGGGCCACGTTTGCAGTAGACCAGGAAACGGAGTGAGCATACTATGTGGCATAAATTAGAACACACAAACACACACGACCAGGAAACGGATTGAGCATACCACATGACACTAATTTGGGACATACACCTTAAACACACATCTATGAGATACTGTCTTATGTCCCTTTCTATCCCAATGGCTTACAAGTAATACAGGTACAGGTTCTGCTTGAGCAGGGGGCTGGACTAGAAGACCTCCAAGATCCCTTCCAGATTCTATTCTATTCTATTCCTCGACTTACAACAGTCCATTTAGTGACTGTTCAAAGTTACAGTGGCACTGAAAAAAGTTGACTTATGACCGTTTTTCACATGACCATAGCAGCAGCCCCATGGTCACGTGATCAAAATTCAGACGCTTAGCATACGGTTGCGGTGTCCCGGGGGTCATGTGATCCTCTTTTGCGACTTTGACAAGCAAAGTCAATGGGGAAGCTAGATTCACTGAACAACTGTGTTACTAACCTAACAACTGGAGTTATTCTCTTAACTGTGGCAAGAAAGGTAAAATGGGGCAAAAATCAGTTAACCAATGTTTCACTTGGCAACAAAATTTTTGGGCTCAACTGTGACTGTAAGTCAAGGACTATCTGTATATCTGTATTTTAACTTCCTTGTATATAGCAGTTTGAGAGCCCTTGGCCAGAATGTATGGTAGCATAAAAATTTATTTTATTAAAATTATATGTCACCATTTTACTACTGAAGCAACTCTAAACTGCTATATAAAATAATAATATTGAATAATAGCATTATAATTTTTATCTGTAATGAGACTGTCGTGATTCTAATGTACGGGGTTTTTGTTACTCCTGAGTAAGGCATTAATATCACTGGCATATGATTTCTTGTTACATATACCTTGTGGGCAAAACAATAGTAAAATGTGATCACATGACCTTGAGATGCTGCAAACAGTGACAAATGTGGCTGTGTTGCTGAGCCTCTGTAGTGTGATCACATGATGGGGGGGGGGCAAATGCCAGGTTGTTATTCCCTTTTTGCAGGTAAGTCGCAACTTTAAACAATTGCACAATGACTGGTCCTAAGTCGAGGCCCACCTGTAGTTTTTATAGATTGCATATTCCGTAGAACAAAATAAGATAATCTCAACCCATGTTCACAAAGCTGTAACTCCTATTAGTTTTGAGGAGAAAAGGAAAAAGTTATTTTTGTTAAGAGTCTACCAATTGCACATTGGGGCTTAAAGCTTTTACAGTGTTCCCACTGCTACGTGAATATTCTTGAGGTGGAAGTTTCACCCTCTACATTTCTTCTGATAGCTCTGTAGACCAGTGTCTCTCAATCTTGGAATTTTAAGTTGTGTGGACTTCAACTTCCAGAATTCAACATCTGCATTCTCAGGTATCCCTTTTAGTTCTGTTCGGTATCTGAGCCTTTCAAAGAACAAAGCCAAACTTTTTTGCACTGTCCAAACCAGTATTTCTCTGCCTGTTTAGGCCTAATTTTGGTCTGCAGATGTGAGTGACCATAATGGAAGAGCTACTACATGTAGTCCTTGACTTACAATCACAATGGAACCCAAAATTTCTGTTGCTAAGCAAGACAATTGTTAATGAATTTTGCCCCATTTCTACCCCACCTTTCTTGCCACATATGTTAAGTGAATCACTCCAGTTGTTAATAACGGTAGTTAAGGGAATCTGACTTCCCCATTGACTTCGCTTGTCAGAAGGTCACCAAAGGGGATTACGTGATCCTATTGTCAAAAGGTCGCAAAAGGTGATCATTTGTTCCTGGGACATGGCAGCTGTCATAAATACATGTCTATGGCCAAGCATCCAAATTCGGATCACATGACAATGGAGATACTGCAATCATTGTAAGTGTAAAAAACAGTTGTAGGTCACTTTTTCAGTGCTGTTGTAACTTCGAACGATTAATAAACGAATAGTTGTAAGTTGAGAATTGCCTATGTTATTCAACTGCCAGATATTCTGAGATCTATAGCAAGAGCTCTTAGACTTATATACCACTTCGCAGTGCTTTAAGCAGTTTACAGAGTCAGCCTATTGCCCCTAACAACCTGGGTCCTTATTTTATCAACCTCGGAAGGATGGAAGGCTCGGTCAACCCTGAGCCGGTGAGATTGCCTGTAAGAGTAAGCAGAATTAGCCTGCAGTGCTGCATTCTAACCACTGTGCCACCACAACTCTAATTACACTGAAGCCATATTGTGAGGTATCCCAGACCAATTTCACTGGTAAACGCACAATATGACACGTGAGCATTGTGTATAATATGGTGATATTGATTTGCTCCTGTGAGAGGTTGTATGCCCTTTTTTGGCCAGGGCCATGCCTTCCCTATTTAAAATACTGTAAAATGTTCAAGCCACTCGTAGTGGCTAAATTTGGCAGGAATCTGTTGTAATAACTGACGAATCCTAGAAAAGAGTTATAGCTGATTGTAGCCTCCGGGTATTCTCGGCTGCTTCAATAATTCTCCATACACTTGCATGCACTTTATGTGTCAGCAGCTGGATTGCAGTATGTAATATTTGGTATAAAGAAGTAGATTTGTTGCATTGTGCTCAAAAGCTATAGGCCACCAATCTCTGGCATAGTGCTTGAGATTTTATAGATATACTTCATCCTTTGCTCTAATGACAATGATATTATCTACACAGCACAGAGTACTGGATTGTCTTGTAACACGTGGCTCACAACTTTCTGCCAAAACATTGATGCAGATGCTATTCAGAACAGATTATATTATAATCATATAACTATTTGTGCAAGTTTATGATGAGGAACACCCAGAATCTACCATAAATACCTCAGCTTCTGCTAGGTCTGTTTCCTTGAAATGTTTCTCCTCACCCATCCTGCGCTCCAAGATTAATACAAGAATCCTCAATTCTAATAATAGCTATTGTTGTTCAAACTGTAATATAGGTAGTTTCTGTTTACAACCATTTGTTTAGAGACCATTTGAAGTTACAATGGCACTGAAAAAATTGACTTGAGAGTCACAGCATCCCCACGGTCATGGGGTCAAAATTTGGGCCATTGGCAACTGGCATATGACAATTGCAGCATCCTGGGTCATGTGATCACCCCTTTTGACCTTCCAACCAGCTTCTGACAAGCAAAGTCAATAGGAGGAGCTGAATTTGCTTAATGAACACGTGATTCACTTAACAACAATAGTGATTTACTTAATAACCTTGGCAAAAAAGCTCATAAATTCAGGAGCAACCCAGTCCACTATCACCTTGCTTAGCATTGGAAATTCTCCCAATTATGGTCTTAAAAACCACCTCTAGTGGAGCAGGGTAACTATTTCACCTGACAGTTCTAGAATATTCTTTTTAGTTGTGGGATCAAGAGATCTGATCAGTTTTTCCTCTGATTTATGTCACTTTCACTTTTTTGTGATGGTTTATGGGATTGGATATGCTTATGGTATTTTTCTTAACAGTATTTTAATATTATAATATAATCTATATAAATACAAATGTAAATGTTCGTTTGTTCAAAATCTTAAATCTCCGAAAGTTCTTCACCGATTGCTTTGAAATTTTGACACAACGTTGCATTCGAATACGCGCATGTTTTTATATACCTACTATTATATAGATGTCACACCTGTGACAGGTAAAAACATGCTTTTTTTAAAAAACAGCGCCATCTGTTGGACTTGTGAAATTAAACATTTTACAAACGTGCACTTTCTCTTTTCTTTCTTTTCCATTTAACCAGACTGAGCCACAGCAACGCGTGGCCGGGTACAGCTAGTATAATAATAACTTTATTGTCACTTTGAATGTTCACCAATCGGCATACATCAAAATGAAATTTCGTTGCATACAGCTCTCAAAGGGCCACCACCTCCGATATATACTCCTTGTTCGTGGCCAGCTCAAGTTTCAGATTGTCCATTTTAGTCTCTAGGGAACGAATGATGGCAAACAAGACAGATGGAAACGGAGCTCCATGTGGATTAGCCCTCAAATTAGCTTGTATTCCTGCATGACAACCTCGCCTTCTTTCCTTTTTCCGATCCTGACTCTTCCACCTTTTCCTTATGTGTTTGAGTATGACAGTGCCATCCTTTGACAACACCAGCACTGCTCAATATCCTTTTCAGCTTACTTTTAGTGGTCTCCATGTTAGGAAGCACAGAGGGCAGGTTTTGGCCCTCTGGCAGGTGTCAAATGGGAATTATATTTTTCCAGTGTAAAAATTAAACTATATCTCTGACTTTAGTTTAGGATCTGCAAAATGCTTCTCCAATTTATGTTGTGACAGAACTAATAAAGTTCTATTGTCATTGAATGTTTTTGCCATTTG